ACTAAAGGTCTTTTATATGATATATACCTTATATGCTAGAAGAAAAACAAAGGAAAAGTTATGATAAGGTCATTACCTTAATTTTCACACTTTTTCCTAGCTTTTCCCTTCTTAAACTTTCTTCTTGGACTCCCTTTAGCTTGAGTTCGGATTTGGGCTATGGAGATGGAGTTTGCAGAGCTCTTCTCTCCTTCTTGGTGTATTTGGGTCGAAATGATGAGGGTAAGGAGGTAGGGGTGGTTCCTTCTTGTCTCATCTAGACAATGAGTGAAGGGAGGGGGCCTACTACATGTCAAAAGTGTCTCCCCCATCCTCTCAATTGTTGTTCAGCCAATTTGGCACTCATCCAGCCCTCAAAGGTTGACAATTTCGTGGGGTGGCCCCCACCCATGTGGGAGGTCATCCCAATTTGTCCCAACGTGTGCAATTTGCCCCGAAAGTTGTATTTTTCGGACTGTTTTAAGTATATTTTATTTTATCGGGTCAAATAAAATATAACACTTGTTCCCAATTCTTAATGGACCTTAGAATCAATATGCATCCCTCACTTTAATTTAGAAGTCTCCGAAATCCCTTTTCGGGCTGTTATCTGATAGGTTGCCGATACTGATAATTTGGCCCCGTTTGACCAACCGGTCAACCCTATGCCATTGTCATGGCTCAATTTGGGTATCCACCACCATATACATATTATCTAGTCCAAGATCAATATAATATGTGGCCCCGATAATATCGGGCGGTCCCCACTCCCGATGTGGGCCCCACGTGCATTTTACTATTCACGCGAAAAAAATTAATACAAATTCACAACTTCGTAAGTTCACTAAATATTTCATAGGGTTCAATAAATTATTATCTTAAAGATAAATACATTTGGGGACGGTGTTACAGTCAAATAAAATATATTATGTGCTCTTACTCATTATGAAATTTATAATAAACATATATTCCTCAACTTTAATTTATAAGTCTCCGAAATCCATTCCGGGCTGTCATCTGATAAATTACCAATACCGGTAATTGGCCTCGTTTGACCGACATGTCAACCCTATGCCCTTTCTATGGCCCAACAAAAATATCCACCACCATATAAATATTATCTAGACCAAGATGAACATAATATGTGGTCCCGGGATTACCGGACGGTCCCCGCTCCCGGTGTGGGCCCCACGTGCAGCTCACTACTCACGTGAAAGAAATAACCAAAAACTTACAACCACGTAAATTCATAAATCAATATTCAAGATTTATTACATGATTTACTAAAAAGTAAATATATTTGGGGACGGTGTTACAATATATGTCAGAAAATCAGCAAAAAAAGTCTCATGAGGCCCACTAATTTTTGTACTATCAAGTTATTTCATTGTCACATAGAGTTATTGGTTATACCTTATCGTTTATTTTGATTTTACTTGAACTTTTACGATCTACTTTTAATTTGCTTTTTATTACAACAACTACTACATACTTCATACTAGTATATAATTACTAAAATTAACACCACATAAAATTTATCGTCTTTTTTTATATTTGACAAAGTTACACATTATCTACCATCACAAAACATAATTTTAATTAAGTCATTATTCAATTCAAGATATATCCCGTGCATCGCACGTGTACTTCATCTAGTATTTATTTAGAAAGGAAGGGAGTATTTAATTGAGCCCTATTTAATTTTATATTTATTAATTAATGCATAGTATTAATTAATGAGCCTTCCACTCCTGTGCACATTTTTATTTTAATTTTGGTAGGGGTATGAATTCTATTTTTTTTCCGGAGCGACCACATGAGGTGGGGGAGTGCCGAGGAACAGTACCCAATTTTATTAAATAACAGATTGAAATTACAAGAGAAGTAAATGGAAAACAAGCCAAGCAAGAACAAAATTAAAAACAAGTTACAAGTACAGAGACTTTAACAATTGAAATTTTGTGTGAGAGAGTCCTGTTGTATTTGTTGTGGAATCTGATCGCCTTCTTCAGATATGGTTGGTAGGTTTTGGCCTCCGGATGTGTTAACTTGTAACGTTGTAGTGCTGCTGCCAGTTTTTTAGGGGAGTCAAATCTCGCGTCAACCGGATATAGGTAGTAGTCTGATTCATTTTGTGGGTGACAGGAGCGGCTTCTTGTGACCATGGGGTGTGATGTATACCCCACCTCATAAAATAGTTGAGCTCTTTCTGTCGTGGGAATCTGGACATGACTCTTCTCTTTGTTTGTTCTTCTATTTACCTGCGTAAATCCATCTGAGCATTCTTCTACATCAGTAGCTTTAGTATCGGCACCTGTAAAATCATATAAAGCAATAATGATATTGTCCTCAGAAAGGATTTCATCATTGGACGAGATGAGATCAAGTGTAGTATCATTCTCGGGATCATAAGTGGTTTCATCATTTCAAACTGGAGCCTGAAGTTCATCATCGGCGTAAGAGACACTGTGTTGAACAACTGCTATGGTTACAACCTTTTTACAGGTAGCCACTGTGGGTTGTACACTGATTGAGGAATGTTTTCCATCACTGGTAATTCGAGAAGCATCAGTTTGGCTTGGAGCATCAGGGGTTATACTCTGGGTATCAACAGGGGCAATTGCACAAGCATTTTAGTTACACATAGTAGAGTCGATAGTAGCAGGTTCAATAGACCCCTTAGGGGCATTAAATGGGGCCACAAAAGAAGCCTCAGTAGTAGACTCAAAGGCTGCAACCACATGGGCATTGACAACATCAAATGAGACATTTGGGGCAGTAATAGGGGCATCAATGGTTGCTGCACAAACCGCAACATGATCAACAGACCTGATGGAGTATATGTCCCAGGGACCCCCGACCCACATACTTTCTCTACTACAATCAGGCCCAATAGGCCCAAACGGGCCAAGCCCAGCAAAATGGAGCTCTAAGCAGCCCACAATACGCAAAGGGGTGCCTTCGGCCCCATGGCCGAAGGCTACCAGTGACGGAATCGAGCTCAGAAACATCACAGGAGAATAAGGCTTGAAAACCAAGCCTTCGGCAACTGCAGCCCTCGGCAGGTAGGAGCCCTCGGTTATAAGAGGCATCATAGGAGAACAAGGCTTGAAAACCAAGCCTTCGGCACCTGCAGCCCTCCGCAGGTAGGAGCCCTCGGTTAGAAGAGCCTTCGGCCCAGCACCCTTCAGCCGAAGGCATCCACCTCGACAGAATATCCTCTTCACATGCGCCTGGATCACTGTACCAAGTACAAACGTCACATCCAACCACCGCATTTAATGCAGCCACATTCGAGTGCCAGTGCCACCCCGGTCGAGGTGACCTCTCGACCACCACAAAACTGACACGTGTCCTTATCTAGCATTTATTACTACTATAAATAGCACCTCTTTCCCCCATTGTAAACCACGCTTAATACACATCGAATATACACACTCTCTCTTACTTATTTGCTCTGACTTCTCTCTAGTTATTCTCCACAATAACCCCTCGGATAAGCTACCCCCGGGTACACTATCCATCAAGACCCCTTTGGACCATTAACAAGGGAAACAAGAGTTTATGGAATATCATCAGTAACAGGGGGACAAGCCGCTGCCTGGGCAACCTCTTTTAAGGGGAGGGTGGTTTCTGGAATAGCACAAATGGGAGAGGGCATCACACATCACTGAGATCACACTTACGGGGGCTGTTATTGAGGCCTTAACAGAAAAATTTTCAGTACTGGTGTTAACCAGTATATCAGCATTGCCAATACATTCATTAGGGGCTACATCTGTAGAAAAATTAACAGGGGAAACATGGGCTACATGTCTTGTTTTTGCTGGTGCAGCAGGGTCACATTTATCACCTGCAGCTGTTTTACCCAATTCACAGTCAACCTCAGCCAAACTTGATTTAGCCCTGGGAGATTTTGTGCTGTAATGGTCGAACCTAGATCATTTTGTGCAGAAAACAGACATTTTATGCTGTAATAGCTAAACGAATTAAAAAACCCAAAATTGCCATTAACAATCCAAAGTTTTTGGGGCAAAGCTTTGGAAACATCTAGTTCAATACAAACTCTCGCAGTTGTGGGTCGAGAGAAATTGGCGGTTGGATTATCAATTTGAAATGGTCTATCCAAGAGACTAGGAATGGAGAACAAAGCCCTTACATCATGTAGGTGAATCGGAAGCCCTTCAAGGGCTACCCAATCGGGAGTCACCGGAGAGTCACGATCAATAGAAAAGGACGGGGTCCATCTGCTAACGGTCATTGAACACCCATAAAAATCCCAAATTTTCTTTAACTAAAATCACTGAAAATCGGAGTCAGAAAGGAAATTAATCAAAATTCCGTTGGATTGAAGAAGCCCTACAGAATATGGGTGGGAAAACCCTAAAGCTTCGAGAGCTCTTCGAATCGCAGAAAGGTGAGGTCGTCGTTTTGGGAAAGTCCCAACAAGAGCAAACACAGAAGTTGGAAGAGATAACATGGATGTCGTTTTCAGAGAACGAAACCGCGGAGAAGCCTTTGTATCTACCTGGTTTCTTGGCTGGGAGATCCAGAAAGTCAACTTTGGAGAAGAGACATGGCTGATTATGTACGCGACGACCATGGAGGGTATCCGTTACCGCCTTAGCGTAGGTCAGACCAGTCTGGGTCACCGGTTCGTGACCCTCCGCTGGCGTCATAGCTGCCGTCCAGGCGTCGGGCTTAAGAACGTCGCTAACGAATTCTAATTTGATAAAAGAATACGGAGTATTAGAGCCCGTTTGGTAACTCTAAAATTGATTGATTTTGCCAAAATTTATTAAGATGTGACTGAAGTTGTTGTATTGACTGATTTAACTGATTTATAAAAAAAATATATTTAAAATAATTGTATTAATAAATAAAATAAAAAATTATATGAAAAAATAGTTAAATGATCATTTACGATAGATTGGGTTAATCCAGTTCTGAAAAATGGCACCCGGCTCTTAGTAGAAATACGCCTGCAAGTGCGGCTTGAATGCATTTTTCTAATAAAATAACTCGTCATTCATTCCGTCCCCGCCGCACCTTTTGGGCGATATGAAAACACTAGCAAAACAGTTTATACAGAACATTCTGGAGACAACCTCAAGAAAATATCTTCTTCCTCGGCCCCAATCACAGCCGTCCATCGTTGATCGTCCTATTAAAAAACACAGCTTATATATACGCAATGTAATCGGCGCCCCAATCTGGAGTCTTCTCCACGGACCTTTAGCGAAAGAGAAACAACTCATGTTTGATCTCTTATAATGCCGAGGTTTCGTTTCCTAGTACAAAAAAAAATCATCATTCTTCATAGTTCTGTTTGATTTAGGTGATCCAGGAATCTTAATTCGCCGACAAAAACCTGGGGCAGAATAGAACAGAACAGAACAGATTATAGTTTCAGAATGGCAGGAGAAGAAGGTAAAAGGGACGATCTTTATGGAGTGCTGGGATTGAACAAAGAATGCAGTGCTTCTGAACTAAGATCTGCCTACAAGAAGCTTGCCCTGGTCACCATCTTTCTTCTTAGTTCCTGTTTTGTGTATTCACATGAATCTTTTTGAGTTTCCAACAATCAGTTTTTCTTTCTTTGCATCCGTTCTGTGGGAAAGTTGAAATCTTGAACATGAAACAATCTTTTCAGCGTTGGAAGAAACTCTCTGACTCTCTGTATTTGCTCTGTTCATATTCGTCTTGAATTTTCAGGGGAATATACTTTTTTTTTATTTAACATGAAAACATATCCCGTGAAATTCCTAGGTTGAAGAGATTGCTGATAATATACAATAACGAATAACATAACTCTTCTTGAATGAAATCATAAATTTTAGTAAGAAATTAATCACATTACTTTCTTTTGACCCAAACTTTAATTAGGCTTTCTTTGCACGTAGTACTAAAATTAATGCACAGTTTTGATTTAGAATTTTATTTTAATTACATTTAAACTTTATTTTTAAAAATACAATCTTTAAAAAAACTAAAATAGGAACTTTTGAACAAATAAATCAAAGATAAATTTTGAGTTTTTTAGGAGGCTCTTTGTCTCTATTAAATACTCCTTAGAAAATATCAAACCAAATCTTTAGTAGGAAACAGGGGTGAAACTATGTTTGTTCATCATAGTTTGTATTTAAGAGTAGCACGGAAAACAGTGTCTTTAAATTACCAATCTGAATATTTTCTGCCTCAAGGTTGTTTTTTCATGTTTTCCTTTTATGGGAATTCTAATTACAGTTTGAACACATGTGTTTATTTATTTTTGAAAACAAAACAAAACGAATAAACAGAAATGGCACCCAGATCGATGCTCAGCGCGGGGTAATTCAAAGAGTGTGGAAGAGGCCAAGAAGAAATTCCAAGCTATTCAACAAGCATATTCTGGTAATTAGGCTTTCACCTTCTTCCAATACTTCTGCTTTTATCATACTCATGAAAGTGGCGGTTGCATGTATGGTATAGATTGTTAAGATGGTGTATGGTTTTGCCATTTTGCAGTGCTTTCTGACTCGAATAAAAGGTTTCTGTACGATGTAGGAGTCTATGACTTTGATGATGATGACGACGAAAATGTAAGCCGTTCTCTTTACCCCTACTTCTAACTTCTGCATTTCTGCATCATAGCAAACATCTGTGAAACCTTACGTTTTTCGGATCTGTTTGATTGATTTTAGTTTGAGACCTTTCTTTAGGATCCGTTAGACTGGTTTTAAGGTGAGACCCGGTAAAGTCAGATTATACAGTCTTGATCCCATAAAATTAGATTTAGACTCAGATCGGGTCAGGTTAGATACATTAAACAAACTTGATCATATCAGACCGACTCACCTCACATAATGTCATATCCTTACTTGATAATTTCACATATCAACAAACTACCCGGATCTCGTTGGTTTAAGCAGATTAGATCAGACGCAGTAGCATTTATTGTCCCTAGACATTTAATTAATGCATAGTATTGGGGTAAAATGTAAGTGTGCAATGGAGTCAGCAAACTCTATTATAAATCAAGTCTCTTTGTAATGTACTTATTACTCCTCTTTAATTTCACCCGGTCACATTTTCATATACTTGTTACAACAACAAGTGAAGTGTTGAAAAAGGTAAACAAACAGATGGGTTGATAAAAAAACCGAAATCAATTATTCCCTCTAGCCCAATATAATCTTCCAAATAGGTTTTGCACGCGATTTTAAAAAGTGGGAATCTTGGAAGGAGAGGGAAAAAAGAAAGAAATGTTGTGAATCACAAATTCTTTATCAAAACTCAAAAGGGAAAAAAGTATTTTGTGACGAACGAAGAATTAAAGTTGAAATATTTTTACAATTAATTGCCACCTCTATTCAAAATTAGTTGATACATTTACTTTCTTTGTGAATCCAACTGTCCTTTGGTTTCTAATTTTATGTCAATTTTTGTCAATTTCAAATTCAGTTTTCTAGACTTCAATAAAACATTTAATGTAAGTCTAATCACACTCGCTGATTATACTACCCTGTCCCTTAAAACTTTATTATTTTTGATTTTTCAAGTGAATTGTGATAAAGTTTGGATCATGAAAGTTATAAATTTTACACTTTTATGAAAATACTTTTAACAAACAACATTTACATATCATTTTTATGTTGTAAATAATTTCTTATAAAAATATAGAATTGGTCATGAAAGTTATAAAGTTTACACTTTTATGAAAGTTGAACATGATTGACCATGAAAGTTGAACATGATTGACATTAAAATGTAAAGATGACAAAATTTAAAGGGATGGAGGGAGTATGTGCTATTAGAACTTTATGCTAAAGCAAACATTGTAACCCAAGTATGCCAAATACGGAATAATATAGAAAGTTAGGCCTAATAAACTCATGAGTCAATTCATGTCACTGGTATACATAGTACATTCTATTTCGATAAACATGTACTCGACAAATGTCAAATTAGTTGATTCAACATATCCGACAATAACATAGAATTCATAAATATCGTAACACTTCGTCTTTCAGGTTTCTTATTGATAGTGAATTTATCTTTGAGATCCTGAGAAAATTCCTAAAATATATATGAGGTTCCATACAAGGGGGACTGCGGTCGCTTGCATGGAGTGACTCGCCATATGTCTAGCCCTAACTAGACCAATTTAGATTAGCATAGATTTGAAATTTTTGAACATTTTCTTAGATTGTAAGAACTAAAAAATGGTGGGTTTAGGTTGTCTTGAAATGAAGTAGCTGATTGATATAATCTGGCTCGTTTGATAACATTTTGATAATATTGAAATTGAATGTGTTGATGAAGTTAGTGCTGAATGGGATGAATATGCATAGTCATGTATTAATTGTATATAAAATATATATACTAATCAAGCTGAGAAAAAATAAGAGTATATGAAAAAAGGAAGAAAGAAAGCAATTCATTTTGAAGCCAATTTAGCTAGACGTACTTGAACTTTATTTGTTTCATTATTTGTCAATTGTGAAAAAGCCAATGTTTAGTTTAAATATAATCTGGATGATAAAATTGATAAACCTTAAAACTAAGTTACCAAATTCGCACTTAGCATGTGTTTCCTATCTCTGTAATATGGAGTAGCATTTAACTTTTCCAAATTTCAAGCAAGAATTTATGAAGGTCTAGTTCAACTTGATTTAGGCCTTTTCCGAAGTTGAATGGAGTCGGTCAAATAGGTGAACTTTGTTCGAACTTTGAAATGGTGCTGAATTTCTAAGCTGGTTAAAATAAAGATTTTAGTCCGAATACCCAAATAAAAGGGTTAATACAGTCTCTCTGTGCTTTAGTACATGGGTAAGATTGCGTACATCCGACCTCCTTACTCCATAGGTGGGAGCCTTTGCGGCACTGGGGTAATGATGATGATGACCCAAATAAAAGGGTTACCTTAAGAAAAGATCTAGATCTGATTGATAAACCTAATAAAAAAACAAGTTAACATCACAAATTCGACGATAGATTCATTTTTATTGATTACTAGTGATTAAGCAGAGGATGACTTGGTTGTGCAGGGAATGGGTGATTTTCTTAATGAAATGGCTGCTATGATGAATGACAATAGATCCAATGTGAGTCCTACTTAATTAGATTCCTTTTCATACATTCATCTTTGCCATTGTCTCTTGTCAATTAAATTAGTCTAGTAACAAGCGCTCATCCTAGTCATTTTTATGTCTGATTCATACAATCATACACTAAAAAGGCAACTTATGTACTGTTTGTTTCCTGGGCACAACCTGAAGTCTTATTTCTGTTTGTGGTGTAGACATGATTCATGGGGTAAATGTATGTGCCTCAATGCCTGAGATAGAGGGTGTTGACTTGAATGATTCTTAGTTTTGCAGCACATAAATCTTATAGCTTACAAATATTATAAGAATTTTGCAACACAATAATATTTGTAAGTAAAATATTGCAACTCTGAATTTGAATCTTGACTTCAAAATAAAAACTTTCTGTTAAAGTTAAATGAAATTTTAATAGGACATCAATGTTGAAAATATGAAATATATATGTTGCATTTTCCTATTAGTATATATTTTATTCTATACATTCATCTTTTTTTGGCATCCCTATTATTTTGATAAGCTTCCCCCCCTTCTTGAAAATTGGCTAACATTAATGATTATTAAATATTGGTACCTTTCTGTCATATTAGTATATACTTTATTCTTCTTTTAGGCATCCTTTTATTATAAGCTTTCCCTCTTCTTGAATTTAGTATATATTTTGTTCTTTTTTAGGCATCCTTTTTTATAAGCTTTCCCTTTAACATTAATGATTAGTAACTATTGGTATCTTTAGAGAACATAAAAGGTAGATGAACATTAAAGTTTTAGTTATACTTTCTCCTCACATAAATTAAGACTAAAAACTTAAGCATATGTAAAAAACAAGGAAATATCACTTTTTGCCATTTAAAGGCTAACTTATTCTAAATATAGCGTCTTCTAACTAATTCACGAGTGATTTAAAAATACATTCTTACATTATTATGGGCAAAAAGTATATTTGCAACATGTTACACATAATTGTGGATATATGTGGCACAATAAATGGATGATATTTTCATAATTGTGATATCAGTTTGCCACATCATTAATAGTAGACAATAAGAAAGCAATTCATGCTTTATGTCTCAATACATGCATGAGTGCAAAAAATTAAATAAGGGGGCTACATTTCATTTCAATACACGTGAAAAATGAGGGAAAAATGTTCCCAAACAAACATAACAATGTATACATCAGGAGATTAAAATTAATGATATTTATGGGTTGTACACATATTTCCCAGAAATATTTCAACTACAAAATATATACAACAACATCCAAGCCTTAAATCCCAAAAGAATTTGGGGTCGGCTAACATGAATCGATTTATGATATAAAAAATGCCAAAGAGAGAAGACGGACAAGAAATGGAAGAAAAAAAAGTAAGATAAAATGAATAAAATAAAGATAAATAAATATAAGAGGAGAAAATTAGCAAGAGTTATGGGTAAAGATAGAAAGTATAAAGATAAGTATGGAAAAGAAGAATAAAAAGAAGGAAAAAGTAAAAGAAAAAGTTTCAAAAAGTAATGAGTCAGGAAAAGTTTTAACTTTTTTATTGGGGGATTAAAGTATCTTAAGTTAATTTTTAACAACAAATGGTGGGAGTATGTTTTTTCAGAGTGTGTGATCATCCAATTACATTCCAAATGAACTATGGCAGGAACAGCAGGGAGAGAGCTTTGAAGAACTGCAGGGGTTGTTCGAAGAGATGTTACAAAACAGCGCCAATTTAGTGGATACTTCTTCATTTTCATCTACTCCTTCCCCATCATGTGGTGAGAGCTGCTATTTCGACAACATCTCAACCAAGAGAAGCTCTTCTGAATTCGACGGATTTTGCATGGGGGTTAGTTGGCTTTTTTCTTCCTCTCTGAACTGATTTAACATGGCATAAGGATGAATGCACAACTAAAAGAAAGATGGGGAAAAATGTGATTTTTATACTTCAGTATCTATTATAATGATTTAGACATATAATGATTATGTTCAACTTTATACAAGAATTACTATGAGGATATACTCGAAGTAATTCGAGTCTACGAGCTATAGTTCAGTAATCCTTGAGAAAAAACTCCATCTAACATGCAAAACTTAAGAAAAAATACATAATCTCATGGATCTTTATGCTGTAAAAAATCTTGAAGACAGGAGGAGGAGGAACACACCAAGAAGGCAGGGAGAGGAGTAGGCGGAAGAAGAACACCAGGAAGAAGTAATTATTATTAATCGGAGGACTAATAATAGTGATGGCTAAGTTAAATCAGAATCTCATTGCCTTCTGATCTGAAATGGCTGCTGATAAGTGCTAAGTGCTAACGTATTCGTAGAAGAACTCGAGTATGATGCTTCAAAGGTATCATGAATAGCGGTTTTACGCGTTTATGATATCATCAATCTTAAGTGAAGTAATTTGGTACCTTAAATGTAACTAATTGTTGTAGTTAGAAGTACCATTTGAAGTTCCCCAGAACTAGTGTAATCTACTGAACAACCAAGCTGGTGAAATCATTGTGTATGTGGTACCAATTCTGATTTACTGCAGTAATTAGACTTGGTTACACGTGCGATATTCTTTGGAATCAAAACATTCAAACGTACCAATTGGCCAGTCTAAATTTGATTACTTCAGTAGTTTAGGGGAGTGTGAACATGGGGTAAAATAAAACAAATAATTTTGTCTCAATTTCAAATGGAATTGTTAATTTGAAAAAGGGAAAACCGCATATATGATCCTTCAGTTATCCACGAAATTAAAATCTCAGACTTGTATTTCTGAGATTGTAAATGTCACCTCTCAATTTCCAAAATGCTGTAAATGTGGTCCTTTTGAGGGGTAAAATATACATACAATATGGACGAGAGTACATTTCGTCACTTAAAGGACCACATTTACAATAATTTGGACAATTGAGGGGTGAGTCGGGTGACATTTAGTCTTGGACCCGGACCGGGCCAACCGGCTCGTGAACCGGCCCGACCAGCCATTGTGCGGGCTCGGACCGGACCAGGCATCGGGTAACGGTTACGGGCCTAGACCCGGCCCGGGAATAATAGCGGGGCGGTTTTGGAATGAATTTTGGTGACCCGGCCGGGTCAGGCCCGAACCTGGGTCTAAAGGTAACATTTTTTTTAAATAAGTAGCCGTTGGGGAGCTATCAAACGGCTCTATAGCCGTTGGGAGCAAGGGGGGGTGGTCCTGGGGGGTGGGGGTGGGTTGGGGGGTAGTGATGGACTGGGCTCGTTCCGGTTCCGGGCCTGGCCCGGCCTGGCTTTTGGTTTTGGGAAGGGAGCCCGGGACCGGTCCGGATCATCGGCCGGGCTACTGGTCAACTTAAATTACAATGGCAATTTTTTTTGAGAGAAAGATGTGTGAAATATTGTGCTTTTCTTAAAAATTTATCTATTCGCTGGAATAGTACTTATAAATTAATTAAAGTACTTGTTAGATATAAAGATCATTTTCCTGCTTTTTTAAAAAGAATATGCTAACTATATTATAAATACGGTTGACATCGACACTTGCGAAAAAATTGTGAATGTTTTGATATTTTTTAATAATGCAACTGAAATTTTTAGTCATGTTTATACACACCTACCTCAAACCAATTTTTTCGTGAAGCTGTTAATCTCATTGGTGTTTTTTTTTTGAATTTTCTGAGGCCCCTTACGTGAGTTATTTTTGTGAGTAAATGAAAGAAAAGTTTTTAAAATATTATTCATATATTCCACATATTTATAGCATTGCATTCATTCTTGATCCTCATTATAAACTTAATGCTTTGCAACAATGTTTAGATTACTATAATGCTTTATTTTTTGGTCCACTTTCTATGTACGATGATAAGGTCATAGACCCTAAACAAGAATACCAAGAGGTTGGTAATTTATTATTTCAATTATTTAATGAGTTTCATGCACAATATGGTAACGCATCCTCTCCCCCGACACAAACATCTTCATCTAAAGGAGGCTCGTTTTTTAAATCAACATTTGGCAATCTTATGAAAAAAAGTAAATCAACTCTCATTGTTGAACAAATCTCAGTTAACGAGCTTTCTTTGTATCTAACATTTCCTGTTGATTTTGAAGAAGATGATGACTTTGACGTTCTAAAGTGGTGGAAGGATAAAGAAGGAACGTTCCCGTTTTTATCAAAGATGGCTAAGCAAGTGCTATCAATGTCGGTTTCAACAGTTGCCGTGGAACAAGAATTCAATGCGGCCGGCAACGTTCTAACGAATTATAGAACGAGATTGGACACAAACTCTCTTGACACGCTTGTTTGCTACCATGATTAGTTGAACATCCAACGTAGAACTCAAAAACTTAGTATCACCCCACCCAACACTTTATGGAGGAAACAACAAATGACGGTGGCAGAGATTCAAATTGATTAGAGGTGGACATAAAATCCGAATCGAATCGGTACCGAACCGTCCCGTAATGGTATCGAACCGAATACCGGGTATTTAAACGGTTCTATAGATTTTTATCCCGTACTGAAACCGTACCGTTTGAAACAGGTACAGGACCGATTCTAGATTTTGAGAACCGAAAAATACCGGATCGAACCGTTCGTAAATAATGCATTTGAATTTTTTATATTTTTTCTATATCAATAGATCTAGATCAACAATTTTATATCCCAAGTATGTATTCATGTGTCCCTAAGATATCTAAAATGTGTTGTTTATATATATATATATATATATATATATATATATATATATATATATATATATGTTGGAATAATTTCCATTTATGTGTGGTCTTAGGACCATTTTATATTAATTAATTGTTGCTATTCGTAGTGACTGTGCCAATATGACGTAATAAATTCCCTACTTTATCTAAATATTACTTGATGGGAGTAATTCCCTACTTTAAAGGGATAATTGATTTACCGTTAGATGTCTATAAAATAATTAATTAATTAGTTAATTAATTAATTACTTAAGAAAGGACACATCTATTCATTGTGTCCCTTCCCTCATACACATACACAGGGGATGCAATGACTAGTCATGTCTCTTAATAAAAAGGTTCCTAGGGCTATAAATAACACTATTATGCTTCCCTAGAAAACTAACCAAAAATCTATCCATCACTAACAAGACATTATAACGGGAATCATGGCTTCTTCATCATCAAAGACTGCATTTCCTTCAAGTAAGTAAATCGGCTCTTATACTTGTTAAATTATTGTGTTTGATTTGATTAGAGTTGATCCTAAAATTACAAATCTGTTAAAATAATTTCCAACATTTGGTATCAGAGCAATTCTCTTAATCATTTCAAACCGATAAAGAAACATAGTTCACGTTTCTGGAATTAATCAAAGTCGATGAACTAAAATAAATTTTTGATGACTAAAATTCATTTGATGACTATAATGAAATGGCGTCAGACACTGTTGATGAACGCTAAATTTTGGCAGACAAAAATTAATGAAATTTAAGGCTACGCTTTTGAAATCTAAATCGTAGTATTGAAATCTGTCAAAATGTTTTCATCGAAGTGTTGCTACGTCCATAGCATTCAAATCATTCGCCAAGATTATTCCTTGTTTGCGCTGATTCAACTTTCAAAAACATACGCGATCCACATTCTTATATGGGCTAAAATAATAACTAAGTTCTTAATAATAACAAATAGCATAAAGATTAAAATATAAAGTATTTAATACATTTGTTGCGTATTAGGATAAGTAGTGGTCTATAAACTTTTAACTTTTTTATCTCAACATATATTTGTGATTAATCATTCTATTGATGTTTTAACTTATATCATATTTATCTAATCATCCAAACACAAGATGTCATTACTTTATTACTTTATGGCTATTTGATAATTTATTTACCCCATTTTTTCAATCGTTAAAATATCTCTTGCAAAATCCTATGCAATTTATTTTAATGATTAATTAATGTTTTAATTTCCTTTTACGTAATATTCATATCTCATTTAAATAATTTTCCGTTGCCGGATAATTATTTAAATTGGATATGAATCTAAATAAGACATTAATGTGTAGCGAAATGACAAACCCAAAGGCGAGTCGTCACGTGACATATATTATAAAATGGTGTTTTTAATTTTAAGCCCAACTTAATGTGAATATTGTATTTTTTGCCCAAAGGTGACTTACAATATTCATATGGCGTATTTTATTTTTATTTTTTTTTAATAAAAAAATAAAAAAAATGTTCGAAGCACTTGAATATTGGACATAGCCAACGCAAATCCAAAACTCAAGTAGGACCTTATTTTAGTCTATTATTTTGGTGTTAGTAATAGACTTAATCTTCAATATGTTATTTTGCTTACTTTATGTGATTGCCCTATATGTTTCAATTCACTTATGTTCTTCTAAAATTTATATGTTCTAATTGTGATAATCCAGCATCCACTTTAAGTCCTAATTATGGGATTGAACCTCTAACCGGCACTAATTTCATGTCATGGGGAGATGCTGTTAAATTAACTCTTGGAATGATGGATTTAGACTATGCTTTGAGGCATGATCCTCCCGCTGCACTCACTGACCAAAGTTCACAAGAACAAAAACGAGTGTATGAACAGTGGGAGAGGTCAAATAGAATGTCTCTCATGATTATAAAGAATTCCATCTCGGTTGCTATTCGCGGAGCCATACCGGATTCAGAAAATGCAAAAACATACTTGGACTCCGTTGAAGAACAATTTAAAGGCACCTCCAAGGCATATGCGAGTACTTTGATTCTGAAGATGTTGACTACAAAGTACGATGGTGTGAGTGGTGTGCGTGAGCACATCATGATGATGAGTGACATGTCCCACAAGCTTAAGAGCATGGACATGGAAATTAGTGAGGGTTTTTTAGTGCACTTCATTATGACCTCTCTTCCGGCACAATTTGGTCCTTTTAAAATAAACTACAACACTCAAAAGGACAAATGGCAAATGAGTGAACTCATTGCCATGTGCGTGCAAGAGGAGGAGCGCTTAAAGATTGAAAAACCCGATGTTGCTCATCTCACAACCACAAACACCGGGAAAAAGAAAGGCAAATTTAATACTGGAGAAAGTTCAAAGGTTCATAAAACAAATGCAAATGCAACTCCTGGCTCAACCGCTCCTAAGGGCCTGTTTCGTTGTAAATTCTGTCATAAGAAAGGACATGGCCAACGAGATTCTCCAAAATTCAAGGAGTGGCTAGCAAAGAAAGGTAATCATCTATTTATGATTTATGAGTCCTTTAATATTAATGTTCCCACAAACACATGGTGGGTTGATTCTGGTTCTATGGTACATGTTACAAACTCATTACAGGGATTCCATTCAATCCGGAGGCTGGAAAGAAACCAAAGAACCATTAAAGTCGGCAATGATGATGATCTAAATGTTGAAGCCGTAGATACTTTGCAATTAGTTATGCAAGATGGCTATTGTATTAACTTATATGATACTCTTTATGTACCGAGGATGACTCGAAATCTAGTATATGTACATAAGTTAGATAATGATGGATATTATGTAACATTTGGTAATAATAAAGTCACTATTACTTTAAATTCCGACATTATTGGTTATGGTTATTTGGATGGAAAACTTTATAAGTTAGACCTAGATGACCAATTCTCAAAATCATTGTTGTCATATAATGTAAGTGAAAATTTACATAAAAGAAAACGAGATTTGGAAACCTCATCTATGTTATGGCATCAACGTTTAGGCCATATATCACGAGACCGAATGTTGAGACTCGTGAAAGATGGAGTTTTACCAACTCTCGATTTCAATGATTTTGAGACATGTGTGAAATGCCTTAAAGGCAAAATGGCAAAAGGAAATAAAAGAGGCGCCACAAGGAGTTCTAATTTATTAGAACTTATACATACTGATATTTGTGGACCTTTTCCCGCCGGAATATCTGGACATAAGTCATTTATCACTTTCATAGATGATCACTCACGTTATATGTATTTGTATTTAATTAAAGAGAAATCTGAATCACTTTACACATTTAAATCCTTTAAGGCCGAGGTTGAAAATCAACTCGACCGTAAGATAAAAGTAGTGAGATCAGATAGAGGGGGTGAGTATTATGGTAGACATACTGATATTGGTCAAGCTCCTGGTTCTTTCTTTGAGTTTTGTAAAGAACATGGGATCGTGACCCAATTTACCATGCCGGGTACTCCTCAGCAAAACGGTGTTGCTGAAAGAAGAAATAGGACCCTCATGGACATGGTAAGAAGTATGTTAGCAAACACCACCTTACCTCAATTCTTATGGACCGAGGCATTAAAAACGGCAGTCCATATACTCAATAGAGTTCCTTCTAAATCCGTTCCTAAAACACCTTATGAAATTTGGACGGGAAAAAAACCGAGCTTGAGATATATGAAAGTATGGGGCTGTCCCGCCGAAGCTAAGCTCTACAACCCTCAACAAAGAAAGCTTGACATGAAAACAGTCAGTTGTTTCTTTATAGGGTATCCCGAACGATCAAAGGGATATAGATTCTATTGCCCATCTCATTCCATTCGCATAGTTGAAACTCGTCATGCCGAATTTCTAGAAAATTCTAACATTAGTGGGAGCAATACACATCATGTTGTCAACTTACAAGAAGTGCAAGAGGAGGGTCCAATAACCTCATTACCTCTTTATCTTATTGCACCTATTGTAAATGACATTTGCCCACCTAGTGCCTCTCCCGAGGAAAATATTGCTCCTAATATGCCAATAAATGAAGGTGTTCCAAATTTAGAGGAACAAATCCCTGAAGTTACCACTGAACCACCTCAAGAACTCGAAATTTCAATAAGAAGGTCATCGAGGTCTAGAAGACCTACTAACTTTGATGATTACATAACCTATCTTAATGAAGTTGACTTGGATATAGGGAAAAATAATGATCCTACATCTTATAATGACGCCATTAGTAGTGACCAATCCACTCAATGGAATGAAGCTATGATTGATGAGCTTGATTCTATGAGAAAGAATGACGTATGGGAACTTGTTGAACTACCTAAAGGGGTAAAACCCGTAGGATGCAAGTGGGTTTATAAAACCAAGTTAGACCCAAATGGAAACGTCGAAAGATATAAATCACATTTGGTTGCTAAAGGTTACACTCAAAAGGAGGGGATTGATTTTCAAGAAACTTTCTCTCCTGTCTCGAAAAGATTCCTTAAGGATCGTTATGGCCTTAGTAGCCCATTTTGATTTAGAGTTACATCAAATGGACGTTAAAACGGCTTTCCTTAATGGTGATTTACATGAAAATGTGTTCATGGCTCAACCGGAAGGTTTTAAGCTCAAGGGTCAAGAACACCTAGTATGTAAACTAAAGAAATCCATATACGGGTTAAAACAAGCATCAAGACAGTGGTACTTGAAATTTGATGAAGTCATTAAAAGGAATGGTTTCAATAAGAATCAAGTGGATCAATGACCTACCTTAAAGTGAGTGGGAGCAATTTTGCCATACTTGTCCTTTATGTTGATGACATCCTTTTGGCAAGTAATAGTTTGAATTTGTTGCATGAGACAAAGCGATTACTTTCACGCCATTTTGACATGAAAGATCTCGGGGAAGCCTCGTATGTGATTGGCATTGAAATACATCGAGATCGAGCCAATGGTGTGTTAGGACTGTCTCAAAAGGCTTACACTGAGCGTATTCTTGCTCGCTATAACATGCAACATTGCTCTCCCTCAGTTGCTCCTGTAGTTAAAGGAGATGTTTTCGGTTCTTTTCAATGTCCGAAAACGGAGGTAGAAAGGGAACAGATGAGTTTGATACCTTATGCTTCTGTAGTAGGAAGCTTAATGTATGCTCAAGTTTGTACTCGTCCGGATATTGCTTATATTGCTGGAATGCTAGGTCGTTATCAACATAACCCCGGCCTAGATCATTGGAAAGCAGCAAAGAAAGTGTTGCGATATCTTCAAGGGACAAAAGATTACAACCTAACTTATAGAAGAAGCGATAACTTAGAAGTGATTGGATTTTCTGATTCGGACTTTGCAAAATGCAAAGACGATAAGAAATCTACTTCAGGGTATATCTTTATGTTAGCAGGTGGACCTATCTCGTGGAGAAGTCATAAGCAAAAACTAACAACAACCTCAACCATGATGGCGGAGTACGTTGCAGTTTATTATGCAACTTGCCATGGGATGTTATTGAGAAACCTTATTAGTGGACTCAAAGTCGTGAACTCCATATCGAGACCATTGAAGATATATTGTGACAATTCTGCAGCCGTTAGTTTCTCAAACAACAACAGTTCGAGTGGGGCTGGATTGTATCTCGATACAAAGTTCTTGTTCGTACGTGAACGAGTAGAGGAAAATAATCTTTGTGTTGAGCACATTAGTACTCATGATATGCTAGCAGATCCAATGACAAAAGGTCTACCACCCAAAGTATTTCAAGAGCTCGTAACAAAGATGGGTTTTACTAGAGATCTTATATGAAAGCATATTATCATAATTTCCTCAAATATCTTAGATATATTGTCTATATTAATGTATGCATACAATTATTGATCTATAGACAAATATGTACACTTTAGTATTGTGTATTTTCGTCATTATGGCTTGAAAGTTTATAAGTACTTTTATGTTGAAGTTTTAGTATAATTGATGGGGGTCTTTTGTTGATAACAACATTAATGACTGTATCTTTTTATTATGACTTTAACATAGAATTTGGTGAGTATTAACATCGGCTAAATTATGAATACTCATCATAAAATGGTCACTCGACCAAGTGGGAGAATGTTGGAATAATTTCCATTTATGTGTGGCCTTAGGACCATTTTATATTAATTAATTAATTGTTGCTATTCGTAGTGACTGTGCCAATATGACGTAATAAATTCCCTACTTTATCTAAATATTACTTGATGGGAGTAATTGTAATTATTTAAAGGGATAATTGATTTACCGTTAGATGTCTATAAAATAATTAATTAATTAGTTAATTAATTAATTACTTAAGAAAGGACACATCTATTCATTGTGTCCCTTCCCTCATACACATACACAAGGGATGCAATGACTAGTCATGTCTCTTAATAAAAAGGTTCCTAGGGCTATAAATAACACTATTATGCTTCCCTAGAAAACTAACCAAAAATCTATCCATCACTAACAAGACATTATAACGGGAATCATGGCTTCTTCATCATCAAAGACTGCATTTCCTTCAAGTAAGTAAATCGGCTCTTATACTTGTTAAATTATTGTGTTTGATTTGATTAGAGTTGATCCTAAAATTACAAATCTGTTCAAATAATTTCCAACAATATATTGTTAGTTTTTCTTTTTAGATAAATTATGTTATATTTTGGTATGTATTGAAAGAATATTAAAACTTTAGAAATCATTAATGATTATTTATTTCTAGTAATATAGTGTACATGAGTTTTTGTTATATCATGTTTGTGCATTTTTTACAACTTAATTAATATACTCTTACAAGTTTGTATCAATACACTTTTTTTTTTTGAATTATGCTGAGAATATATTGCCTTACGTATTGAGAATTCATGCATTGTTATTTTACGTGTGTCGCTAAACATATTTTAGAAATTCATTATTCATAACAGTTAACATCATTTCCGTAATTTAACACAATCATCGCTTTGGTCTTATTTTGTACTACAAAAAATGGACATGATATATGTATCTTAAAGGAAAACACTTACATTATACGGAGTAATAGATCGAATTAAACAAACTATCTTAGACTCTTCCAACTAAATCAACTTTTCTTCCCATTGATCAAACATGTGGAAACAATTAGCTTATGATTAATTGATATGGAATGATATGATAAGTTAGTATATGGATTTCATTACCACAAAAGCTGCATAGATCAGTCGCGTGCTTTTACACAAATTAATATGAAAAGGGAAAAACAAAATTTTCGAGAGAATAAAAGAGAAAACATTACAAAGTTATAAGGAACATATGAAGTACAAAACTATTATATTGAAGTGCTTGATGGCTACTGGAAAAGTTCAAGTTGCCATGCTCATTTTTAGTTACAAATCATAAAATTTTATATTTCATTTTGCTGGTTTATAAAAGATATATTATTTTATTCTCGTCATTCTATTATCAATATAGTAGTGAAGAACTTGTTACATTTTTGGGAACACTTCTATACTTGTAAAATAATATCTCGAGTCAATTTCGGAATTACATGGTCAACAAATCATTTTGGAGCAATCCAACCAATAATGATGTGACAATTATTTTAACTTGTATATACACATATAATTTTAACTCGTGAGTCATGAGGAAGATTTTGTGAGAAACCTTCTTAAAATGAGAGCTCTTTTTAAAATGAGAACTTCTAATTTTTATCATTCATGTTTACCATCAATGACTAATATTGAGAAGGTGACATTTTTGTAATTATTTAGAATTAATTACAAAAGACCTCCATTTTAATTTAGGATAATTATGATATGACTCACGTGAATATCAACCAATTATTACAATCAATGAAAGGTTAATATTTTTTTGTAATCAATAAAATTAATTAGTATTAATCAAATCAAAGGATAAAATGTCCACAATACAACTCGGAGGGGTAATCACCCAAATTTGGCTAATAGACAAAGAGAACAAGATGTTTTAGCTAATGCGTGAGTCCTTATCCGCTAACAATCCTCCAGCCATAGACTCGAGCCATCCCGGCGGATTTCAGAAACCGTCAGTACGGAATCCGACTCAATCTCCAAAAAGAGTTGGACTTGGGGTACACACTTTTTACACATGTCTGTGTAAGGTTTTTTTATGTCTGTACAGACATAAAAATACGTTATGTCTGTACAGACATAAAAAAACCTTACACAGACATGTGTAACAAGTGTGTACACAAAATTGTGTACCTTTAGATTTTTTCCTCCAAAAAATCCCACGCTTGATCCTTTAGCCAGCTCAACACTTCCCGAAATGCCCAAAAACTCGGTTTTCAACGGAGAACATTTGAGCTCCACTTGCTCCACATCATCTCAGACCACCCAACCTAGTCTTTGAGCATCAACAACCTAGTCCGCTGACACCATGTCTGGTTTTTCACCAGTGGAATCATTCCAGAGATTAAAACTTTTCATTATAATAAGTTCTCAATTTATAACGTGAATGTTTAGAACTTAAGAGTATATATGATGACATGTCTAGAATTAAATAAGAATGCTAATTATAGTATAATAACGCTATAACTCTGTCTCATTTTAAAATAGTAACGGACTACTATGTCATCATCTCAACCCCTATTCATTTATATCATACTCCATCAATTCCATTTTAAGGTTCTTACTTTCTTTTTCTGGAATAATAACTGTTTCAAATGACAACTTAATCATTAAATATTAAAAATAATACGGAGTATATATACAACATCACAATTATCACCGATGACCTGTTTATATTATATATTCATTAAAACCGTTTCTCAAACATACTCGAATTATTTTATTTAATTATTGTCTAAATAATCATATCGTTTTGAATTGAAACCTTAATTTGGGACGGGGTAATATTCATTTTAAAGTTTTCAATAATATGTTTAAATATATATTAGTATTAATTTATATGTTTCTATCAGAGATTTACTTTTAACTACAAACAAATTTCATAATTCAATAGGTACCCTTTAGCTTGGAGCGGAAAGAATATACTTTGGTCACTCAATTAGAGCATAACACAAATGCAAGTGGAGCAAAAGTTATTATCATGATAGAATTCTATATTGCCAATCAAATAGACAAAATGAAAGTTGAATCAAATCAGCTAATTAGCTCAATACATTTGAAATTTTATCGATCTAGGATACGAAAGATAGACGAATTTTTCAATCTGAGACCTGAGGTGAAATGTATCAATATAGAACCCGAATAATGAAAAACTATCAATTCAGAACGTGAATGTTTGAAAACTATCAATCTAGGACATAAATTGTCATGAACTTTATTATTGATTTTATTTTAAAAAATTTAAATATTATTTAGTTTTATCAAACTAATAAACTTTTAAGAAGAAAAGGTTTATAAAAACCTAGCAATTGAATTAATAAAAAATTTAAATAAATCAAAACCTATGAAATGTTAGGTTCTAGATTGATAGTTTTCCATCGTTCGGGTCCTATACCGATACATTTCATTTTTCGAGTTCCGAATTGATAATTTATCTATCTTTCCGGTTCTGAATTGAAAATTTATATTATCCTTCCCACCTTATTCATCTCATACCAAAATCATTACAACCTCCAATTTTCTAATGTCAATAGCTCTTGTCTCAACCAAAGAATAATACTCCGTCCGTCCCATTGGACTTTGCCATCTTTCCTTTTTTGATTGTCCCAAAAAAAATTGTCACTTTCCCATTAAAGTAACTATTTTGTGGTTTTACTCATTTCTCTCTCCTCTGCACAAACTTAAACCACACAATTTTTACTATTCTTATTTCTCACATAACTTAAGTAGTGCAAAGTCCATTGGGACGGAGGTAATAAGTAAAATTGGGAGATTGAAACTGAACTATGAGATAGGCTTTGCTCATTTCACAGGAATAACCCATGAAGTAATGGGCTAATAGCCCAAAATTATGATTTGAATTCGGGAGAAGTTCGCATAATTGTTGCCCAACATTAGCAACGGTCGAATATAGAATTCCAATTTAAAGAAGCTCGTCCCTCCTCTGAGTTATCCCTTCAGAATTGAAAGGAAAATGGATTTTGTTGAGGAGATTCACTGTGTTGAATCCGACGCCGAGACCTACGACTCGGACGATACGCAAAATGATCCAGATTTCGACATGCTTGAAGATACAAAATTGCAGTTTTCTAACATCTCCATCAGTAAGAAAACCAAGCCCAGGTAGCTATTCTAAACCTTTCGTTTTCTTGCTCTGTTTAATCGCACAATTCATGTTCGTATAAAGTCCTCATAGAAACATTATAGGTACATCGGTGGTATTCTTAGAAATGGTTGAACTATTGTTTTTGCAGGGTATGCATTTCCAATGATAGTGATGGAGAAGAGGCAGGCTCCATTGAAATCGATGAGACAGAGCTTGATGAGAATGATCAGAAGAGTTACGAGAAAGTTCAGAACATGATTCAAGGTTTGCAGAAACTGGTCTTTTATTTCTTTTTGAGTAGTGATTATTATCTAATCATTACTAATATTTCAATTTACAAAGAAAATCACCATCCGCTTACTGTCGTGTTATTGGACAGCTGGCGAGGTTGAAAGGCTAAAAGTTGATCAATGCAAGATCTATTTAAGAAAGCACAAATTAAGATTGACTGGAAACAAAGCTACCCTTATTCAACGTATCAAGGAGCATATTGAGTAACTCCTCCCACATATTCCCTTATGATTCTGGATTTACTAATATCACTTTATACCTAAACTATTTTCTTTTTGTGCTTCAGTATTGTGAATGGAGGTGGGGAGAAGAAGTACCCTGTATCTAGTTTTGTATTGAACTGCAAAGGTATTATATAATCTTCAAGAAATCCCTGAACCCCCACATTACTTAATTTTTTAGTTACTAGCTTGAAAACTATTTGTACTCACTTTTTTGTACACAAGTAAGCAGCTATTTTTTTTGTTTGTGAATAGTCTGTTCATAGACACAACATGGTTTGTCTATTAACAGGCATACAAAAAATAACTACTCACAGAAGATGTGTAAGATGGTGTGTACAAAAAAGTGTGTACAAGAAATGTTTTTGAAGCTTTAAAACATCAAATGTATAATTTTTACAGATTATAAACATTTACAAATAGATACGAGTATATACGAAGTACACAAGATTTATCCTCCAGCTCATCCCTGTCTCCGCTACTGGTTACTAGAACTTCATTTCAATTCATAAACAGGCCTACATAAACTAAGTAGTCTAAATGTGATTATGAGAGCCTAAAATCAATGATATTTGTACAGGTGATGCATGTACGGGAGATGTTGTCTTCTTTGAACAAAATGTATATGAAATGTAAGCTTTTTTCTTTCAAATATTACTTATTTTCCTATGGTTTGTTTGGATCACAGAAAATGCTAAATTTTCCGAAGGTGCCAAGGAGAGTTAACTTTAATGTTTGGCTTTACATTTGAAAATGCAAAGGAAAATGAAATATGGTTTGAATAAACATCTAAATAAATTTATGGCGTTTCAGTCTATCGTTTATCCACCCCCACCCCACCCCCCCAATTTATTTCCTTCCCATCTATATTCCTAACACCATCCTTGTATATGGTAAGTTGTTTATCATATACCCCAGGCTATTATATTATATTACCACTATTTTCGGTGTGTGGACGTGTGGTAATAATGGTATTAATGCTGAACCTGCAGGTTCAGCATTGCATCAAGGAGTGCTAATGGTCCTCCATGCGGCAAAAGGGTTGTAGCAGGAAGAATTGTAAAAGAGAGCTATGGAATGGCCAAACAACAGCACACATTCACTGTGAGAACTTCAAAAACATTATGAGCCTTGATTTTTATGTGGTTTCAGTGTGAGAAAAATATGATCACAAAACTATCATTTTGATAATAAAGGGTAGAAGTAAAAAATATTTGGATGTGTCAACTAATCATTGATATAGACTTTTGATATAGACTTTTATTCAAATTATTTATCATGAGATTAAAATTAGATTTTCTTGATAAACTCAGATTGAAGTACTATGGAGCAAAGGGGAGAAGCCGCTTCCTGCATTGCATCCCCTCCTCATTAAGGGAAGAAACCTTTATCGCTTAAAAACAATGAGACAGGTTTGGTTCCTTGAACAAATCAGTAAACTCCCTCTTTTCTAATATTTGCAAGTATTATGTTATCTTCATCAATTTTGCTTACACTTCTTGTTTGCTTTTGCTTAAGAGATGGGAAGATGAAGGAATAAGGCAGAAGATTTTGTCAGAAAAACACACAAGAGGCTGTGTTGCTCGAGCGAATAGGGAAGCACGCGTTGAAAAAAAGAAAATGCGACAGGAGCTCAAGTTGAACAGGTAATTAGAGACAAGATTATGTGAAAACGAATATAATGACAAGCATTACTAGTTTAAAGTTTAGGCAAAAGTGTGCCTCATTTTACTTTGTACAAGAAAAAGTGATTACTAGTTTAATACTTCGTATTTGACATAAAGATATATAGCAGACTTCAATACCTTAAAGAGTGATTAACATTTAACCAAAAATAGATAGATGTATATCATCGTCATGCATCATCCTCAAATAAATGGATGGCAAATTTGGTAATAGTTATTTTCAATTTCTAAAACTGACTTAGTAGCTTTTCTGGTCAATTTTGTGACAATTGCATTTGATTGATGAATATTTATGTACCCCCTTCCCCAAAGAAACATATAAACAAAAAATGTGCAGAAGGGGATTATTGTTTTTATATTTACTACAGAAAGTTAACATAAAGAACCTCTCCGGATAAAAAAAAATAAAAGCAATAGAAAATAACTATGCACTTTAAATAGTGGAAGAGTATTACCTTTCTTTAATGATCACCAAATATGATCAAGAAAATACTGTGAAAGAGTGAGTATTGACTTTCTTTATATGATCACCAAATATGGCAGGGTGAAGCATGACAAGAATGGTACCATGTTAAAAAACAAGCAAGAGCAAACTCCTCTACAGAATGAAGGGGAAAATAATTTGCCACAGCCTTTATACAGAGGGCCGAGCACGTTAGGTGTTGCAAGTATGCCATCTCAACACGACAGGCTTCATCGACCTTTGCCTTATGCAAACGTGATAAATGGACAGTGTGGCTCTAAACAACCTTTGAAGGGGCAACACAATCAAAGGCAACCTTTGAGTGATGCTAATTTGAACGCTAATTTGAACTCTTTGGCAAACTATGGCAGCAGTTACAAGCCAGGGAGAATGTGGCATGAAAATAGAATAAATCAAAGTAACGAAGCGGGGGCAAACTACTTCCTGCCAGATCCTCCCCCTCTTCACAGTTGGAACTTGGGTTATGATGGAAATCCTTATCCAGCTAGAGGAGGTCAGGCAATGAAGCAACAGCCTTGTTGGCATTATGCTCAAGGAAGATGTTACTATGGACACAATTGCAAGTACTTGCACTGATATGATAATGCACCCATGAGAGAATATTAGAACCGCTTTTTTGTTGGGGTTTATAAGGAGTCTTTGTTGAGGCCAGTAAAGATTGATGATGATGAGTAAAAGCTCTCTCTCTTGGGAACTTTTCTTTTTCTCTTGGCATTTTTGATGATGAATCTAAAGCTTGCGCAGCTTTAGATTCATGTTGTGACCTTTCTAGAATGTATAAACGTACCCGTAATGCATGAGGTACAACCGTACAAGGACACAAAATCAGGTCTATGTTTGATGTTCCCTCCTAAGGTAAGGTATACGGAGTATTTTATTATGTAATAACAATAATAAAAATAATAGTAATTATTATCATTATTTATGTATAGCAAGTTTTGTCAGATAAATAATGAGTTTATAGCAAATAACGTGAAACCATCAAAGCTCATGTAAGAATATCCGATTCCTGCATCATCAGAAAATTTAAATAATTTCAGTCAACATACTTTTTACATATCAGATCAATTAAACATTAATTAAAATTACTATAAGAAATATTTTTCTTTGATTTTATCTGAATAATTTTGAAATAGAAAAATGCACACTTTGATGTTTAAAAATAAGTTTCATCAATTTTTTGTTTTTTTGACTTTTTTTTATTAATGAAAACAAAATGAATTCAAGTAACGTCTGGTAATTTGTTAAGGCACCATGATTAAAAAATTGTGTTTCGTGTTTTTTAGTTGAAAAACTTTAACACTTGAAAAATCAAATTTTTTTAAAAACTTTATGAATCTTGCTAGGTAGGAATGTAGGATATTCTTTTAGTGAGCGTTGTTGTACTTTTTATGCATTAATAATCACACGGCTCTCTCTCATATTCTTATCCCAATCTTAGAGGGATGAATATGATACTTATTGAGACAGATATATTATTTTTAGTTTTAAATTTCTATTTTTAAATTCAGTTGTTTAAACCTTTGAGCTCATACATTTTAGTTCTTTTAGTGAGCGTTTTTGTACCTTTTTATGCATTAATAATCACACGGCTCCCTCTCATATTCTTGGCCCAAACACAACAAGTACGACTCCGGACAGCCCATAGTGCAACATGTTACTGCCTTCGGGCCCATGGCCGAAGTCCACACATTCGGAAAACAGTTACACTTGGTCGACTAACGTCACTGGAAAATTTAGGCTGAGATTGCGTGCACCTTTCGGTATTTACAGCCTTCGGCATATACTTAGCCTTCAGCTCATACATAGCCTTCGACACGGGGGTGGGGGGGTGCATGTAACCGAGGGCACTCTCCTCGACAGGATCACCCCTTCACATGCGTTGAATCGCCACATTGAATGCAAACGTCACACCCAAATCGCCGCATTGAATGAGGCCACATGCTATGTCGGTGCCACCCTGGGTGAGTTGATCCTCCATCGCTGGTTGCTTGACACGTATACCTTCGTTGATTAGACCTAGCATTTATGGCTGCTATAAATAGCAGTCATTCTTCCATTGTAATCAACACAATTTGTATATCGAATACATACTCACTCTCTCTCTTACTTGCTCTGACCTCTCTCTTTATATTTCTCATAATATCCCTCGGATAAGCTACCTCCGGGTACACTATCAATCAATATTAAATCATATAAAGTTGTTTGATTAAAATATTAAAGTAGTTTCATTTTAGTTAATTTTACTATACTTGTCACATTATCATATTAATTAACCATAATTGTTATATTTTATATTAATCATATAAAAGATGTTAGATTAAAATATTAAAGTAGTTGTATTTCAGTTAATTTTACTATACTTGTCACATTACCATATTAAATAATTAACCATATTTGTTGCATATTAATAATAATCATATAAAAGTTGTTAGCATAAAAATCGCATTAGTCACAAATATTACTTACACATATAAAAGTCACATTTTAATATAAAAGTCACATTTTTTGTTACAAATTAGATACATTTTAGTTACATTAAACTCACATTTTCTTACATTAAGTGAAATTTTACTTAGATTTTTATATTATTTGCATTGTATTTGTACTCACGTTAACATATACTCCGTAGTTGTTAGAATTTAATATTTCTTACATTTTAAGATGGAACAAGATAAAGATTCTGTAGATATGGGTAACCTCTAATGCAACATAAAAAAAGGGATTGGGAAGAACCATCCTAGTTCGTGACTCAAAGGTAAAGGACATGTCTGGTCTTCTTCTCAAAGCCGAGATGATTTTGAGACGACTTACAATCGGAGAGATGTGATGTCCGACGAGCAACTATCTCAACTATTGGCCCAACGGGATGGGCGGTTTTACCAACAACAAGACATTCCTGAGATTAACGAAGAGCTGAAGGATGACGACGAGGAGGGGGGTGAGTCGGCGATAACCGAGGAGGAACAAGACGACGAGCAAACCCCCGACGAGAACGAGCCCGGTTCATCCCAACTCGGTAAGAAAAATGAATCTCTCCTTATGAAAAATAATTTCAAAAAGTGGAAAGAAACGGATAGCGAGATGTGGTGGGCAACTTGCAACCATTGTAACAAAAATATAAGCTTGGGGATTTCGCAAGAATACAACGGCACTCATAGGCATGTGAAGGTCTGTCACCCTATGGAGTATGCGAAACTAAAAGGCAAAGGGACGCAAACACAAATATCAAGGTTTGCAAATGGGCAGCCCTTTGGTAATTTCTCTTATGATGATTCCAAACATTTAATTGCTATGTCTGAATTAATTGTCGAAGAAAATTTGTCTTATATTTTTTCTGAAAGTCTTGTTTTACATGCTTGTGCTCAAGGTTCTTTAAATCCTCAATTTTGAAACTATAATCGCAAAACCATTAAAAAGAAGTTATAAGGCAATATGTTTTGGAAAAGCATATAATAAAGACGTTTTTCGTAAACTTTGATGGACGTGTTAGTATTTGTAGTGATATATGGGAGGACACCACTTATCATCATTTATATTATTTGAGTGTGACTGTACACTATATTGATGCCAATTGGGATATGCATAAACGTGTTATCGCTTTTCGAGAATTTAATGACCGATACACCAGTGATAATATTTATATTCTCATTGAACGTATTTTAACTGAATATAATATGATTGATAAAGTTATTGCTATTGGTTTTGAAAATGCTAGTAATAACACTGCTGTTGTATCTAGATTGCGTGAATTGTGTGGTCCTTCTCCTTTGATGGGTAAGTTTTTTCATCAGCGTTGTGAATGTCATATTATTAATTTACGTGTAAAAGACTGTTTAACTGCACTAGGTGATGTTATGGAGAACGTGAAGGAGGTTATTTGGGGTAATAATCAACTGAAAAAGCAACGACGTCAATATTTGAGGGTTAGACGTGTGAACTATTGTGCTTTCCAAAAGATTTATCTAGGGGTGGGCGAGGTCCGGAACGGTCCGGTAAACTAGTAAAAACCGTAATGTATCCGCTAGGTTTTTAACGGCCCGGTACGGTCCAGTTTCAAGGATAGAACCGTTCGGTACCATGCCGTTTCGGAACGGTACAAAACGGTACGGTACAATACCAAACACATGCTAAAAATTTTGAACAAATCTTTCAATTGGTAGATATCTTCACACCAACCAACTCACATGAAATATTGATATAAATACAAGAAATTGCATATGTAGTACTAAAATTCACAAATACACAAATAGTGCAACACAACTAAGAAAAAGTATAGCAAAACAATGACGCACGAGATAAATATCATCTTTATTTTACTAAGTTCATGTGAAAATATAAAAAAGAATATCATCAAATTGTTCAATATAATAGAAATCTTCAATGTTCTTCTTCTTCATTTTAAGTTAAATATTACATATTAATATCTGATTTAATTTATAGTTGAACCATGAGAGCTAAAATTTAAATCATATTAATTAAGTTGTAAAATTGCGCAAACATGATACCACAAAAAGTCATGTACACTACATTACTAGAAATGAATAGTCCTTAATGATTTCTAAAATTTTAATATTCTTTCAATACATATCAAAATATAACATAGATTATCTAAAAAGGAAAAATAACAATATATATATATATATATATATATATATATATATATATATATATATATAATATAAACACACACACACACATTCGGCTAGTTCAGGAACGCATGAATACATATATGGGCTATAAAATTGTTTGTCTATAAAAGAGATCTATTGGCATAGATAAATTATAAAAAATTCAAATGCATTATTTTCGAACGGTTCGGTCCGGTATTTTTCAGTTCTCAAAATCTAGGATCGGTCTCGTACCCGTTTCAAACGGTTCGGTTTCGGTACGGGACAAAAATCTATAGAACCATTTAAATACCCAGTATTCGGTTCGGTACCATTACGGGATGGTTCGGTACCGGTTCGGTTCGGGTTTTATGCCCACCCCTAGATTTGTCTATTCGCTGGAATAGTACTTATAACTCAATTGTTGAACTTCTTAGATATAAAGTCTATTTTGCTGCTTTTATAAAAGAAACTGCTAACTATATTATAAATCTGGCTGAGATCGACACTATGGAAATCATTTGCCTAGTTTTGTTTTTTTTTTAAAATAATTTAACTCTAACTTTTAGTGTGTTTATAAATCTACGTCAAACCAATTTTTTGTTGAAACTATTAATCTCGCATGTGCTTTTTCTGAATTTCAACAAGCCGATTACCTTCATTATTTTTGTGATTTTATGAAAGAAAGGTTTTTAAAATATTATACATATATTCCGCCTATGTATGGTATTTCCTTTGTTCTTGATCCTCGTTTCAAACTACATGCTTATCAAAATTGTACTATCCTTCGTTCCGTTTTAATCGTAACATGTTGAATTTTACACTATTCACATGCTCTACTTTGACTACATTTTACGTTATTATTTTATGAAAATTATTTTTTAAAAAAATAATGTTCAATTCATCTCATTACAAATATTCAAAATCTGATTTTTAATATTTTTTTTACTAATAGAATTAAGATATAATTACGGTCAAAGACGTGCGTTGGCAAATGTGAAATGTTGACCGTCGCAACTAAAAAAGAACGGAGGGAGTATATAGTACTATTATACATGTTTTTTCTGTCCATTACTTATGTACGAAGAGAAGACCATATTTAATGAGGTTGGTAACTTATTTCATCAATTATTTAATGAGTTTCATGCACATTATGTTAACGCATCGCCTCCCCCGAAACCAACTGCTTCTTCATCTAAATGAAAATCGCTTTTCAAATCTACATTTGGTAATCTTATGAAGAAAAAAATCAACTCTCGTTGTTGCACAAAGCTCGATTAACGAGTTTTTTTTGTATCTAACGTTTCCTATTGAGTATGAAGAAGGGGATGACTTTGACGTTCTTCAATGGTGGAAGGAAAAAGAAGGAATATTCCCGATTTTATCCAAGATGGCGAAACAAGTACTATCAATGTCGGTGTCAACATTAACAGTGGAACAAGAATTTAGTGCACTAGGCAACATGTTAACCGACTATAGAACTAAATTGAGCGTACAAACCAAGCATTCCAGCCCAGCTGGTTGTGAGGTTACCGTGTCTAGTGGGAGGTCTTGAGTTCGAAATCCGCTATGCACATAAGGGTTTGAAACTCAATGGAATGAGTTTCAACCCTGATGCACATAAGGGTTTGAAACATAATGTGTGCAATCATTTTCAATTATCAATTGTACTTCATATTTCAATAATATACATGGAATTTTTTGTAGCACTTGTGAATAGTTAACAAAAAAAATTATCCAGACCCGGCCCCGGCCCGACTGGGTAGCCCAACCCAACCCGGTATCGGTACATACCCAAGCCAGTACCGGGACTGATATTACCGGACCCAGAGCCCACCCAATCCCGGCTAGAGCCCGGCATGGACCCAGCGTCCCAGCCCAGTCCACCACTACTGCTGAGTCTGGGAGAATTAGAAATCTAGATTCTAGAGTTATTGTATCAGGGGTACTATTGTCCTTTCAGATCTAAATGTGTTTCATTCTTGTCCAGATGAAGATGTAATTTTATATTTGTCAATTCAATTCAAAATCGTGGAGTGATATTGGGCGGTGATGCTATATGGAGAATCGGAAATCAATATTCCCAAATCCATATGCTTTGGAATATAGATGTCTATAGTCTATACTGGTCATGATTCCATATGCTTCAAATTGTTAGCTGCTTCAAATTGCGGCCAGTTGAAACTTTTTACCAATATGTTTTTCTTTGTGCTAGTTAGAAGTTTTTCCAAATTTGTGCGCCCTTTCCATATAATCTTACTTCTCTGGACAAAACACCACTATATCAATACCTATTTTTCAAACAATAATAATCTCAGTGATAAAATATATAGCATGAGGCATGTTAACCAACAAAGAGAAACAAAGATGCTTCTATAATTAATACTCCGCAGTAACTAACTAGCGGAGTTGCTCTTATTCACACATTGTAGCTGTTGCTCCATTGGAGAATTCGTCATACTACCAACAGACCCCATGGTTTGAGAACTAAGCTGAGGGCTGGCAGGGCAAGCTCCTTCCGGATGATTACCGCCACTCATGGTATGATGATGTATAGCCCCCGAACTGAGTTGTGGGCTCATCGGAGTTCGTTGGCCCATTTGCTGTGGGCTCAACTGTTGTTGCTGATTCATTTGCTGGGGCGGGATGATGCCCATGCTGCTTGACGGCGATCCCACCACTTGTTGAGGTGGTGAAACTACTACAGGCTGTAAAGGAGATGACGATGACATTTCGAGTTGTGTTTGTTGCTGCTGAATCTGCCGTTGATGGTGCATCTGCTGCTGCTGCTGCTGAATCTGTTGCAACTGTTGCTGGTTCATGTAAAGATTCATCCCCGAAGACATCAACTTCGGCGGGCCCATTGTAGCCAACGACGTCCTTTGCAACGGGTTGATGCTGGTGGCAGCTCGGTTAAGAGCAGTGGATCCCAACATTGAAAGACTAGTGGCAGAGGTGGGAAGCATTTGTCTGCCTCCTCCAGCCATACCTGCTGTTAGTATATATAAGTAATACGTTAACGATGGGTAATTCAAACCCTATGACGGTCTAGCCCATTAGACTCAGGGTCTGTTTGGTTTACACAAGAAATAAATAAGAGATAAATGGATGAGAAAGAGATGGAAAAGAGAGGAATAATAGATAAATAGGGCATGATTGTACGGGAGAAATGAAGAAGAAATTATTAGCAGATATTCACCTACCAACAGATGTATCTGCCATTTTATCTCTCTCCATTCTTCTTCTCACCAAACAAGAGAATTCTTTATTCACTTGTATTTCTTTAAAAATATTTTTTTTCATTCATATTTCTAGACCTTAAATCTTTTGGGAATAAGGGTTGGATGTTGTTGTTGTACATCTCTACACCTTAACCACACAATGGCTATGGGTCCACTTGGGGGGACTTGGTCTATAAGGTAATTGAGTTCATCCTTCAATTTTTATGAAGACTCAAATAAACATCAAGATATCTAAACTAAGCCCATCAATGGCTGCCCCTTCAAACCTCTCTCCACGCCCTCCATCCAAACAGACCTTTAGGGTCTGATTTTTCTATAATTAGTATTCATAAAAAATCAAGTTGTCAGTCAAAAAAGTTACGCTAATAGATGTAACCAAGTGTGCAGTTGACATTTTTATAAACATTTCTGAAATCTTGTGTCCTGTCTTTTAGTGTAACACCGTCAAATCCAGCTGACGAGATTCATTCTAATTTCTCACATTAGATGCATTTCTCACTTGAACCAATATGTGTGTATATACATATACATTTTTTTAAAGGGAGGCTTGGTGCAGCGGTTAAGGTGTTCTTGTGTAATCGAGAGGTCACGGGATTTTTGATAGGGAAAGGCTTTTTACTCTTACACCCTGGCTGCCTTTTTTTAGATACTCCCTCTGTCCCATTAGGAGGTTCCAATTACGGTTTACAATACTTGACTGACGATAAAGCAACTTAATCCCTCCAATTTTGTGAAGTATTTGATTATTTTTAGTAAATAAAATTTACATATTCAGAAACTAATTAAAACCGCTACAAAGCCTGATAAAGAAAATGTAAATTTGATAAAAATTTGATATATAAAGCAAAAGATTAAGAATGATTTAAGTTGAACATGTGAATAGTGGACGGGAATCTTTGAATGGGACGGAGGGAGTATATTATTTTAAAGAAGTGGTAGTAGTAGTTTGTTGTTTAACAATTACCAATGCTTGATTGTGGACCCCCACCCATCATGTTGATTCTGTTCTGCACCATTCTCAACTTGGAGGCCATGAGCTGACCAGATCGAAGTTGCTGGCTGATAGATGCAAGATTTGATGCCTGGCCCAAGTTCATGGCGTTCTGACCCAAATTGCCCATTGCTGCTGGAATAGAACCCATCGGCGCAGAAATCCCAGAGCCCCCTCTTACGCCCATGCCACCCATTAGGTTATGGCTCGCCAGCCCACCAAGACCAACCATACCACTGTTCATGTTTCCCATACCCACATTTCCAAGGCCCATCATCATCTTCCTTTGTTGTTGCTGTTGCTGTTGTAGAATTTGAAGTTTATTAGCCGTCAAGTGGTTAGTAGCGCCTCCTCCATTCGAATGATTAGCAGCCATCATCATAGATGGTGATCTTTGGAACTGCGGATGCTGCTGTTGAATCAAAGAGTGTTGTTGATTCAGTGGCTGCTGCGGAGGTGGCAGCATCTCAGGTTGTTGTGTCCTAGGTGGCAGTTGCTGTAATGAATGTGTAGTCCCTGGAGGTAACGATCTTGTGCCTTGACTGTTCTGAGTTGAATTAAACGAATCATTAATGCCGCTCGATGCCCTTACATTTTCAGCAGATGGACCAGAAGGAACTCCTTCAGAAGGATGTTGTAGCATTTCATTTCCAGGAGAAAGACCATGCATGTTAGGTGGTTGACTGCTCGTGGAATTATTATGATGGTTAACAGCATGCATTGGTTTTCTGTGGACGTTATCTTCCACAAAATGCCCTTCACGGATCATCTGTATATGCAGAAAAGAAGGTTAAATATAAAATTGTAAAAAGGAAAAAGGTAAACTTGCAAAAAGTCTTCAGTTTTAAAGGAAAATACCAGTGAGCAGTACTGTGAAGCCAGTAAATCAGCAAAATGCTGTCAAAATAGAGTAAAAACGTGAGAACAAGATGAATACATTCATTTGCAATGAAGAATATCCTAAATTTAGTCAAAAATATATTATGACCCTGTTTGGGATAACTTAGGGCATAAATTCTTCAATGACGAGTGCTTTCTCATTTAAGGACTTTTTTTAAACACCAATTAAGCAATTAAGAAATGAAAGTGGCTTCATCTTTTCTTTCACAGAGGAACCAAGCGCACTCTACAATGCCCACTGGTCATATCTCACCAGAATTTATTACTCCCTCTGTCCCAATTTGATGATATCATTGCGGTTTACGATGTTTGACCGACGATAAAGCAAACGGATTCCTGCCCGCACTCAAATTATGTTTAGAAAAAAAATTACATATTCAGAAACTATATTAAAAGCTTTACAAAGTCACAAAAACCAGAATCAAATTTGATAAAAATTTGATATATAAAGTAGGAGATTAAGAAGCAAAATGATGGAATAAAGCAAAATGGCTCACTAAACTGTCTGCGCTTCTTTGTTATGAAGCAGCAGTCAGTCCATGCAATTTTGGACGGGATTTTCACTATGGGTCATCCGGAAACAGTCTCTCTGTGCTTTAGTACAGGGGTAAGACTGCGTACATCCGACCCCCTCTTACCCCACCGTAGGTGGGAGCCTTTGCGGCACTGGGGTAAATGAAAATGAAATGAAAATGAAAGTAGGAGATTAAGAGTGATTTGTGTTGAACATGTGAATAAGAACTGTACCATCAAATTGGGACAGAGGTAGTATTATTTTCACCAATATTGAAAATCTGGAATCTTCAAGTCAAAACGAGATATCCATGTAACCGAATTAAGCAACCTCAAAAGTGTAAGAGAGCAATTACTATGTATAACTTAAGATGTATCCCCCCAAATCCACATTGACAGTTAACTACCTACTTGCAATGACAGTGGGCACTTTTTATTTGTTAGGGATGGCAATGCACTTGCAGTTAGTTGTGTTGGGAGTGCACGGGCAAAACGCTAAAGTTGTCCAACGTAGGGTAATTGACACCAAACTTGCAAAATCAATCTTTATGGGGGGGATTAAGTGGTGGTTATTATGACTTGGTACTCACAGCATTGGGCAAAGTGGGTAAGTAGTCCTCGGCAGCGAAGTAGTCACTGTCGTCAATTTCCCCAATATGCATAGCAACAGTGCCATCACTAGGCTTCTCCGACATTATCATTTTAGTGCGTGCCTTGGGAACAACTGAGAAAGTACCACCTGGATGAGACAAAGGGAATCAACCAAAACAAATTAGAAGATTAGAAGCACTGATCCTGATTTAGGCCTTGCTCAACATGCTATAAGCTAGCATATAAGTCATCTATTAACTTTTTTTTGAAGGATGCTGTTCACATTAATTTGTTTGGTTGGCGAACTTCTTTGATAAGCTTGATCTTATTTAATGAGCTTCTTTGAGCGGCTTTTGAATAGTTTGATGAACTTTTAACCCCATTTTTTAAAAAATCACTCTAAAATCTAAACAGTATGATATCACCTAGTTTCTCTGCTTGTTTTGAAAAGCAGAACCTCAAATCTCAATAGCTCTATATACAAACCTTGGAATACACGCTCTGTCTGTGTAAAAGTCAAGACTCTTCTTTTGAATGCATTAGCACTACCCTGAATAACAGACTTAGACAATTTAGAGACTTCATCAATGACGGTTTCATTGTTTGAATCATTGGAAAGAAGAAGCTGCATCTGTTCAGTAGGGGACACGTGTGTTTTTTGCATAGCCCGCTCATCCCCCTTGTTCTTCTTGAAATTAAGTTGATACCTGAAACTCAAGGAACTGTTTTAGAGTGTAATACAATGTGCAATACTATACTTGTGAGGGTATTGTAATTCTTTATCTTTTCCCAAATTAGTTAGTTATGCTCCCCTTAATTAGAATATAATATAAAGCTTGGTTGATAAATATTCCAATTTTGTTTACAAGAATACATTCTCAATCAAATTATCACTTCAAGAGGAGAGCTGAGGTCCTTAGACAGCCTTACAAAATGGGGACATCAAAGAGCCATCCAGTCCCCCAAACATCATAAAAAAAGAAAGTCAGCTAGGTTGGTTTTAATTGTTTCAATAGCGAAGCCCGATAAACCAGGGACACAATGAATCCTGGTTCTAACTGTGTTGATATTTACGTGGATTGACAGAAGAGTTTGGTGCATTAGACATATAGCACCTCCATCCCAAAAAATAGTCAAACTAATGTACAACTGACATTATCAAATCATGAATAATATAGTAATCCATTCAAAATTTCTATGTTGGTTCAACTAAACTTATCATGTGTAACTTGTATATGACTCTTTTTGTCACCTTTTTTTTGGTAAATGAGAAGAAAAATTAGCTCAGTTTGATCAAACAGGACCCCCAATTGGGGCAAAAAAAAACACTATGGTCAAGACTTTCCTTTTAAGGGGATGAGTGTATTATAAATCAAATAAAATCAGGCCCCACTGTTGACTGTTGTGTATAAAAACATCTGGTTGATCTGGTACCATTAGTATGAGATTATGACTTGTTCAAGAAACACACACACACACGCACCATACCTTGCCGATATCATTTCAATTTTGGAGAACCTCTCAAGCATGACTTGTTCAACCGAAAGTTGGTTTCCAACTGGTGGACTACTTGCATTTATTGGGATACTCATATTACTAACACTGGCTGGGGAACCAACCCCACTCATCACAGGCGTCTTAGGGAGTGAATTGGTTCTACGTTTTGCTGCCGCAATATGAGCTTGATGCTGTCTTTGCATGGAATCACTCACACCAGAAGCCAAAGAGGTCATACCAGACTTCTCCTTCAGTGACACAGTAAGTCCACTTGTTACTGCTGGTCCATATTGATGAGGTCCTACTGAACCGCTAGAAAAGTCTCCTGATTTAGACGATAAAGGTGATTGGGGTAACCCTCCACCAGAAAAATGAGGACTCTGAACTTGTTTCCTTTTTTGAAAAATATCTTCCTTTCTAGAACTGTTCTCAAGTAGGGGTTGACTAGCATTGTTCCAATGGGTTGTCTGGGGATAACCTGGCCTCAAGAACTGATTTGTTGCCTTTTGGTGTTGCCGTGATACCTGGGGTTCCATGTGACCCATCTCTGTGTCCATGGTCTGCATTACGGTTCTACTGGAGCCCACTGGCTTGTCAGACTCAGTTGGCTCTTCCTTTAAACCATATCTTGCCACCTGCTGCCCGACAGGGATAGACACTCCAGCTTCCTGAGGGTTCATACCCCCTTCAAACATTTGCTGTTGACACTTTTGTGAGCCAGTGTTGGCATATGGAGCTCCCCTCTGAATGGGCTGTTGGTGTAATGGTGAGTTCTTCCATTGCGAATCGGGTCCACTAAAACTATCTACCTGTGATCCTGTATTTTGTAGATGATTACAGTCGGGCGCCATATTTCCAAGTCTTGCTTTCTTGTTTAAACTAGCAACAGAATGGGATTGCCCTTCCGGATTCTCTCTTTTACCATGAAAAGAAGCAGAGTGCATCATTGCGTCTGGCATAGATGGAGAAATGGCTGATGAACTTATAACAGATTGCCTCTGATCCTGCATAATTCTGGGACTCCCAGCCCCTATTTGATTTCTTATGTGGTTAGACACTAAAGGTGATGCTGGTGGAATAGAGACATCAGAACAAAAACCGTTGGTTCTTGCTGCTCCCATATTGTTTGGACTGTTGCTTTGTAAATGTGCATTTCCATTTACAGTGTGCTGCATTGTGGCTCCACCATCTCCTGGCCTTGAGATCTCCCTAAGCCTCTTCCTCCGCATTGTGCTTATCGCCAAGTTTAACTAGAAGAGAGCTCAGTAAGGTCGAATTTGGGATTGAGGTTTCCGTTGAAAAAAATACACTTTCAGAAAAGCAATTCCAAAAAGTGCTTTTGAGAAATGCGGTAAGGAAGTGCTTTTGAGAGACAAATATGTTTCCGCATGAGGTTGAAAGTTCTGAGTACGATTTAAAATTTCTAAAAAACAAACCATATTTCAACCTCACATAATTCTCTATATTAAAAGTCATCCAGGGGTGACTTCTGTGTTATAACATTTCAGAACAGCTTTTGAAACTTATTTGGGATTGCATTAGGAAATAAGAGCTTTTTCCAACGCAAACGCAATCCCAAATGGGATCTAAGTTAAACTATAAAGAAAGAACTTCCTAAAACCCACACAAAGTCAAACGACTCAAGAACTTGTTTTCAAAAAGTATTACCTTTGACGAAACTGGGTTGTTAGAGAGCCTGTCTAACTTAGGTATTGGATTCAGGCAAAGCGCTGGTTGTATAGCTTTTAAAATCCGCGATTCTACTTCCTAGCAAAAAGAGTTGCAATGAATAGATGGTAAACCAATTCAGTTCCCAAAAAGCAAGAGAGAGCATTATATTTACCATTAGATCACCATATGTCCATGCACTATTAGAAATCGAAGGTATATCCTTTACTACATTCTCCAAAGACATTTTAAGGCACACTTTAGTGACAAGGGGACAAAGATTAACGGGTTGTGAACCTTGACCTGCTTCAGACAAGCATTTCCTGTAATCCCGAACCTGAAATGTTTGTAGAACCCAGTATCAGCAAATGAAGATATATACTCCGTAGTTTATATGAGTGTAATGAATTGACAAATGCTGGAACCTACCTGCTCTTATTCCTCATAAAAATCTCATTATCAAATCATTTTTCTTTTATTTCCTCTACTTTTAACTTTGGAGGTCAAATGATCAGCATAAGAGAGAGCAGACTCAAATGATCAGCTATGAGTTATCAGGTATGTTAAGTGGATTTAAGCATGCAACAAACACATTGTGAGAGGTAACAAACTAGCATATATTGAAGGTAATTAGAAGTTTCACCTCACAAACAAGTGCACCATTAATATACTTGCATGGCATGTCATCCAGAATATCGCTAGGTAACCGCCCAGACTCAATGGCCTGAAGAGGCACAAAAGGCATAGGGAAGCATATGATGGTTGTAAGCTATGTCCATCAAATAAAGGAAAAAGTTTTTGTAAAACAAATAGATATGTATAGACTATAGCGAACTTACTGAGAAGAGAGTTTCGGATGTTCTATCATATGGATGCAAAATTCTAGGAACATCTCCTGAAGAATCATTCTGAAATTTAAATTGTACAAAGAATTAACTCTCGGTTTGCATCACCAAAACGAGAATTTTCACTATTACTTTTGCAGTTCAAACAAGACTTATCATTACAGACCTCTGATGGTTTCCCAATAGAATATCCATCCAGATACAGGTTCAGTGAGAACGAAACTTCATTTTCTGAAAAAGGTGAAAAGGGATTGAAAGAAAATTAATTCACCACAGGTCAATAAAAGAAAATAATGAGTTACTATAGCACATAAAACGTGTTGTTTGTACTTGTAAATTGAAAATCTATTACGATAGTGAACGTACCAGAGACTCCAGAAATGCTTTCATCAACATCAGTTACCTCAGGCTATACAATAAAGAAGCATAGTAGTGGTCAGGGAAAAGAAAACTCACTGATAATCTTTAAAAAAACTGCCTGTTCGACTTAAATGTTTTAGGGTTTGTTCTCTTGGGAGTTACTATTCCATTATGCCAACTCCTTTTTTCCCTCACTTTTTCATGCTCCTTTTTTTCCTTCAACAGTTCTCTATTGTTTTTACGTTCAATCACATGAACACAAACTACGAGTTAGTAACAGTATGACGGATCCAATTATTAAAGTAGGCATTGCTACGATTCTCAACATGAAGGCTCTTATTAATATGTAACTATGATCACGAAAATCAATGGGCACCGGTCCCATTACAGCATCAGGTTTGTTATGTGATGCAACTCCCAATAGTTACATGCCATAAAAACTATGATTCATTCACTGTCTACTAACTAATAAGAATACACCAAGAAGGCAAGAAGCAATATAAGCCATAAATTGCATGAAATTGTGAAAACAGGGTACCAACAAATGTTTTAACTCCCCTTCTAATCTTCTATGGGTTCCACACTTCCACAACCAAAATTCAACATAGATTAATGGAACTTCCGAAAACCAAACCATGAGAAAATCTGCTAGTTACGGAGAAATTCAAATAAGTCATCCAATTACTGAAAAAATCACATCGCCTAAGCTTCCGCACAAGTGAGAATGTATTTCAATAAATTAACTTCAGTTTGAAGATTTATGAGAATAAATAACAGAACTACAGAGACCTTCCGAGGAGCAGATGAAGAAATCGAATCATTATGGGGTAGAGCTGAATTCCTGAGTTTCTGAGTTCGGACAGCTGAGACGACGTCTTCCTTATCCCCGGAGGCGTCTGTGTCAGGTTGGACTTGTATCCTTGGTCGATATCTTGTGCCGGTTTTGGAGACCCTGAACGAAATCCCCATTGCACAATGACTTTGTGCTAATTTCGGTTCTGATTATGATCTAAGCTAGATTAAATTCGGAGATGTGGAAGATGATCTTGAAAGTTTGACATTGTGAAGAAACACATGGTGGTTTAATTTCGTTGATGTATAACTATCAAGAAGACACTCTTCTTTCATCAGCGAGGATGACGAGCTCACAACGCTCGTCTCATTTGTTTCTTAACATGGACTGTTTAGCACAAGAAATCTAGTCGAGATGGACCGCATATATTTAAAACGGCCCTGTCAGCATTCATACATAGCCCACTAAGCCTTGTAACCGTTTCCAATGCGAGTGCTTTTGGTGGTTTTTAGAGGAACCAAACTTTAAAAATAATCCAGATAAAAAACAATTACTTTCATCCCCAAAACTTGGTCAACTTTTTTTGGTTAATGATGGTAAAAGTTGACTAATAATGTTTTGTACTACGTATGAAATTATAGAAGATATAAAAATGTTCTTTCTTAGAAATACTTTAAACAAAGTATAAGTATAAAGTTTATAAGTTTTAAATAAATTTAAATAAGCAAAATCAATGTTCAAGGTCATTAATCAAGGAATAGCGGTCTGTTTTCCCTCAAGTACGGTTTTTATTTTCCGCCATCGTTGGTTTTTCGGTTTTTAGATTTTTGTTAGATTGCACCCTAAGAAGCAAGTGCTTGGTCGTGCACCCTTAGAAGCAAGTGGAGTGTTTCGAGGACGTCATTCATGGCTAAGATCAGAAGGTCATGGGCAAGGCTGGAACAGATCTGGATTCTAGGTCATCTGTGTTTGGTGGCAAAAGTAGAGACTTGACAAAAGCATGATAAATAAGAGGCACAGTGAGGAAGAAGCTACAGTAGTACTTGCTCATCCCCCTCCTGAACCGCCGCCATGGAATGCAGGAGGATCTGGGGTTTGAAAGAAGACGAGTGAACTTTATTTTAATTCTGTTTTAATTTGTTTGTGTTTTTTTTAAATGCATGTTGTTTTGGTTGTATTTTTATTTCCTAGCAGAAAAACTCTAGAATTTAGGACAGGTGATTAGAAGCTTGATTTGCTTGTCATTAGCTCAATTAAGCTCATTACAGGATCTGCGAATCTTATTGCTTTTATGGAGGTGATAGATTTTAAGTCTAGTTCGAGAGTAGGTAGTAGACAAAAGACTTTTTGTCGTTTTGTTCTTGCTTAAGTTCTATTATTTTAATATAAGCCACCTTCATTAAAAAAAGTCATTGATCAAAAAAATCCAATTGTGCAAGTTTTATTGGATGGAGGGAGTACAATAAAACTACACGGACCAAACCAGAATCAGAACCGAAACCGGAACCGGACCCGCTACTCTATGGGACCGAACCAGGTCCGGTTTTCCGGTCCCAGACTTGGATCGGGTACCCGACTGGGTAGTGGGCGGACTCGGTCTCGCGTAAATGATTTGAGGACCGGACCGGGCGGTCCCGGACCCGGTTCCGATCCCAACGGCCAGAATTTTGTTTTTGAATTTTAATTAGGGGCTGGGGCTGGGGGGGTTGGGGTCAAACTAGCCGTTTGGAACGGCTAGTAACAACGCTTTAGCCGTTGGGGAGGGGTTTGGGGTGGGGTGGGGGTGGGGTTACCAAAAATATTTCCTATATATACCTACTCATTTTATTCATTTTTTCACACTATAATATAATATAATATAATATAATATAATATAATATAATATAATATAATATAATATAATATAATATAATATAATATAATATAATATAATATAATATAATATAATATAATATAATATAATATAATATAATATAATATAATATAATATAATATAATATAATATAATATAATATAATATAATATAATATAATATAATATAATATAATATAATATAATATAATATAATATAATATAATATAATATAATATAATATAATATAATATAATATAATATAATATAATATAATATAATATAATATAATATAATATAATATAATATAATATAATATAATATAATATAATATAATATAATATAATATACAATATAAAATATGTATACAAATTATATATATATATATATATATATATATATACACACACACACACACACATTAATAAGTACTTGTTAACATTTTATTTGTTGTTACATCCTAGTTTTACAATTTATTTCATATTACTTATATAATATATATAAAATTATACATATATATTTATTTATATATACAAAACATATATAAATAATATGTATTATTTAAATACATATATAATTTACTATCTATATACAAAGTATTTTAAATATATATAACATAATATATATAGTTGAAATATATATATTTTTAATATATATATATATATATATATATATATATATATATATATATATATATATATTACGAAATATATATATATATATATATATATATATATATATATATATATATATATATATATATATATATACTATATAGTTAGCCACATTTTCATTGTTGTTACATTTTAATCATTTAACATTTTTTTGATAGTAGGTGCATTTAACTAATTGTAGTTTGTAGTTAGTCACATTTTAATTGCATTGAAATTGTAGTTGTTAAATTTTAATAGTTCTACACTCTATTTAATACTACTTGCATTTTAGCTACTTCTTAACATTTTATTTGTTGTTACATCCTAGTTATATATATATATATATGTGTGTGTGTGTGTGTGTGTGTGTGTGTGTGTGTGTGTGTGTGTGTGTGTGTGTGTGTGTATATATATATATGTATATATTTATTATAGTAGTTAGTAGTTGCATTTTAAGTAGTTAACTAGTTCTTTTGTATTTAAATTGTAGTTGTTAATATTACAAATTGTAGTTAGTAGTTACTCACAAATTGTAATTTGTATTTTTTGTAAGATTCTTTAAGATATTGGATCGGGCTAGGAAATCTGTTGATATAAGTTATCTCCAACGCAATCGATCAAAAGAGATTGCGAGAGGTAAACGACAAATAGGGGCAACATCTCATGAGACACTCGTTTGCTTCCATGATGGGTTGAAGGTTCGTCGTAGAACTCAAGAAGTCAACATAGCACCGGACCGTCATTTCATGGAGGAAACGACAACCGACGCCGGAAGCGATCCCGACGAATAGTTCATGTATTGTAATTTTGAACTTTAAACTATTCTGAAATCTCAATTGTAATTTGCAAATGTGATATTGATACAAATCACAATGTAGTGTTTCAAATGAATAACATTTATTTATTTTATGTGTACAATAAATTTTAATTTAAAAAAAAATAAAAGAACTGGGACCGGACTGGGACCGGCCGGTTAGACCAGATCGGAACTGAGTACATTGAAACCCGGGTCAGTTCCGGTCTTCACAAATAATATAATACCCGGGACCGGCCGGTCTGGGTCCATCCCTAACTAGGGATGGACTCGGGCCGGGTGGCCCGACCCGGAACCGGCCCGGGACCGGCACTGTTCCGGCCCGGCCCGACCCGGTCAGTGACCGGTCCGGGTAGGCCCGGCCCGTGGGTTTTCCGGTCCGGGCTCGGGTCACCCAAAACAAGGCCCGACCCGGCCGGGCCCGGGCCCGGTTCGGGCCAATTTTTTTTTTTTTTTTTTTTTTTCAATTTTTTTTAACTTTTCGGGTTGGGCTGGGTATTTTGGGCCATTTGGGGTGGTTTGGGGGGTTGGGGGTGGGAGGGGGGTTAATTAGGAAGAGGAAAACAAAAAAAAAATATATAATGGGCCTAGCCCGGCCCAGCCCGACCCGGACCCGGACCGGACCCGGTGGTTACCCGGGCTGGTCCCGGGTCCACCATTTCTGACCCGCCGGCCCGCCCGGGCCTAGGCCCGACCCGGACCCAGCCCGGACCCGAGTCCAACCCTATCCCTAACTGTGATGGTCTCGTATGTCTGTGCAAATTTCTTATTAATGTTTATGGTTTTTGATGCAACTTTTCGTATATACTGTAGCTTTTTCCACCTTTTTTGAGTTTTTTCATCAGAACACAAGAAATGGTCATTGTTAATTTAAAATTTGTATCAGAAATGAGGCATTCTATCAATGTACCATAAATGCCCAAAATGAAGTACCTTATATCACGGAAACGGATAAAAGACTATAATGGAAATGATCCATGAAGGGAAAAACAAGGTAGAGAGGGTCTAACAAAAAAATGGTTCAGAACAACCTATAATCTGCTATTATTATTTACAATAAGAAAATTTGTCAAAACCCGGGCACACCACAAGTTGGTTGGGATGAAAAATAGAACAAGTGTTATATTTAATAAGATTGAAACTGGGAACTTATAAATCTTCATCCACAGCTCAAAAGATGATGAAAGGGACTGAAGAACAAATTAAAAGTTGCTGCTGGTGATAGGGAGCCACTACAACTTGAAGTTGAGATCCAGTACATCCTCAGAATATGCTACAGGAAATGGACCATGTTGAAGCGGGTATGGTGCTCTAGCGGCCGACCTGGACAAATCATAGAACCAATAAATAGGTCAGGACCACATAATATTGCCACACCCAATCAACTTCTTTATTCAACATTTCACGGGTTGATTTCGCATGCTAAATTATGTAATAATTAAAATACGTAAAGATTGTTTATAATTGACTTGACTACATTTGATTAAAAGGACTAGTTTAAGGTTTTTTTCCTACTAGATGTGTCCCTTTAGACTTCATCGACTTTTTTTAATTTGTTTATTGTGGAACTTACCTTTAATTTATAATTCTGTTTATTTCTCTATCCTCTTAACAATGTCAATGAGAAGAATGTAATACAATTTTATTTTATTATAATGAAATATATTTTAAATATAATCTTTTTCATAATTTGACACATTCAACCAATTCAACATTTAAATCAAAAGTTCACAGGTTTCAACAAATTCAACTTCGGACAATTACTAAAAGAGCTCTAATTAAGCAAGAGACTTTTTTGAAAGGGTGAGTAAATGATTTATAAGGAAGTCTGATCTTACCTATCCTTCCTCTTCTCAAGGAATCGATGAAGTGATGATCTTCTTGCAATTGGAAGACCTGAAACGATCAAAGTATTTTAAGTTTAGTGTAGTACTCAATAAATCTTTTAGTACAATAAAAAATGAAAGAATTGAGAAGTCCGGTAAGAGGGTACCGCAAAATCTTTTAAGGGTTTTATTACTTTATAAGATTTCGACTTAAGACAAATATTTCAGCACGTCTCCTCACTACAAATCGAGTTGAACAACATCATGATGTATAAATGGATCAAAGAGTCCTTAACAACTACTCTTAGTCATCAATGCTGAAGAATAATCAAAATCACAATAGGACTGGCTCTAGGATATCATCTCAAGACTAGAAATTTCTATCTTAAAAGTCAACATGATACGGGGAGGTAACATGAGAGAGTTCACAAGGAGGAAGAGCTCAAGATCTTAGACAATGTTTTATTATTTCATGTTAAGACTCGGGACTTCAATCTAAAAGGTCAACCGGATAGGAGGAGTATTACAAAACCTTATACCGTGTTCAATTGTTTTATAGCTTTTAGGTGTGGGATAAATAGTTTAACATTTCATAAATTTCCGGTTTGGGATGAATAGTTCAACAATTTATATTTAAGTGATAAATAAAATCTTGTTTATGGATACGTTACCTGAAACGTTGGATCTTGAAAAGTGAAAAGGAGCTTGTGGTGTAGGACTAACGGTTGGGAAAACACCGGAAGCAGCCGGAGAGCTTACTTTGCTCGCCAACGACAGTACTTCCCGGGCTTTGTCGGCCGGGAAATCATCAAAGACCAAAACTTCGCCGGAGTAGAAAATAGTCAGCGGCGCAGTCTTGTTGGGCTCTCTTGCTGAGGCCCGGTCCACACTGTTATGTTCAAGAACCAAATCGGTGGAATTCAAGTCTATTTGTGGTGCGGGATTTGATTTTCCCATGTTTGCCAGGAAGTTGATGGTTGGCGTAGCAGGTGCCACGTCAGGTTTTCCCAACGCATGACTATTTATGGAACCTGGAAATCACAAAGATTAAAAGTATTAAACTAAATTAGTAGTATAAAAAGATCAAATGAATACATTCCTATCAAATTACAACCCATTTATAGTTTCAGCTTATCCATCTAATCACTCAACATTTTTTTCAAACATGTACTGCCTTCGTCCAACAAACATTACATCTAGGCATGAGGAGGTGACATAGTTATTATTAAGAAAAATGAGTTCATGTGATTAATATTGAATTAATAAAGTAACAATAAAGTAAAAATGATTTAGACCCAAACAAATTTCGCCTAATTTGGTATACCACAATCTAAGTGGGACGCACCGAAAAGAAAAGATGAGACAAACGGAATAATTTTTTATTCCGCACCTTGAATTGTGTAATAATCAAAATATGTAGAATCGTAGTTAATTTTCAAGCTAAATTGACTTAAAACACTATATGGAGGACAATTTTATATATTTTTCATACAACTTTCTTCTAATTCATTTATAAAATACTCCGTATATTTTATTTTATTTTCCATAATTCAGCTAATTCTTCCAATTCAACCGATTCAATTAGAAATTATCAATTTCAGTAGATTCGATTGATCGATCAATATCTATTTACCAAACGAGCTCTACATCAAGATGGTTTCACTTATAATGGGATTTGGTACATTTATATTTAGGATGTTTTTACTTGGATCGAAATCTTATGGTGTGTTCTGGTCTAATCTGGTCTAGTTTGGTCTAGTCTGAACTGATCTGATAAATGGTCTAGTCTTTGTGTGTGTTATAACTATCCAAGTCTGATCTGGTCTAGGACTGAAAACAATCCAAGCTAAGTAAAAATATTCTTAGTGTGATCCGCTTAAATCTTGTTTGAACTAGTTTAGTAAAATCTAACAATATTTGTATTTTTATATTGTTGAAGTTTGATCCGTATATTCTAGTTTGATCCGATAAGACTAAGAGCATCTCCATCCATGCTCCTGAAATATCATTTTTTCATGTCTTTTTCTTGTCATGTCATTGCCACATAAATAAAATCAAAGTTTACTAATTCTCCATCAACCATGATCTCTATTCATTTAGTTTTTATAAATTTTTTTGTTATTTCCAATGAGGTATTTTAATCGTTCCAAATTAAAAGACATGGTTGCATTAAATGTGTTTATTGAAACTTGAGAATGATCTTGAATAATCTAGGATTCAATATTTGATACTAGATTTTTTATATAAATAATCTTTCAAAATACTCATCTTTTCAACTAGATTTTACACATTATCAAAATGACCTCCAAAAAATCTCATTGATGTGGATGTCCTAATCTCATTCTTAACTTTTGATCGGTCTTTTGAATTCTTTTTAGGCACTTTCAGATTTTGTAGGCTCTTTTTTGACAAACTTGCTTCGGCACTAAATAACTTTCTCACTTTTTTTATTTTATTTAATTTTTAAATTAAGTCAACATACAGCAAAAATAGATTGACTTTCTCATCTTTTATTTCCAATCGTATAAAACAATAAAGTTTCAGTACAACTAATTAAGATGTTTTTAATTAATCTAGTACCAGTTTAAATTAGGCTACACTTTAATAATTTTAAAAAAAATGAAAACAAACATCTACCAAACTATAACAATTCTGACCAGACTAAATCAGATTAGATCATAATAGAATACAAAATTCATATCCAACTAACGATTTACGGAATTTATCGACTGATACATATTTGGTGGAAATGGATGATTTGTTTAGTATAGATGTTATGATTGGAAATGGACCAATAACATTTAGGAAAATTCTTAGTCTCGTGTACACAAACTCACAAAGTATACACAAGACCAAGCAAGCAATTCGTTTAAAAAGGGACAGAACTTGATGTCAAAATTCTCCTAATTGTCTGTGTACACAGACAGGGCCGGCCATAGGGGGTAGGCACCTAGGCAGTGGCCTAGGGCACCACTCCCAAGGGGGCATCATTCTCCCGTCCAAAAGGTTTTGGTCCGCACGTCGTCCGAACAACGCCTTTCGGGGAGGTTCCCGCTGCAATTTTTTGATCAAATTTTTATGGTATGTTCTTCATCAAGTCTAGTTTATCCACAAAAAAGTTCAGTTCAAAATCCGCCCGGGAAGGCCGTAAATTAATTTTTGGAAATTAACTGCGCAAAATTATACGTAGAAAAACGCAGTCAACTTCAAAAAATTATTTGACGGCCTTCCGGATTGAGTTTTGAGCTGAATTTGTTTGTGAATAAACTAGACTCGATGCATAACATACCATAAAAATTTCATCAAAAAATTCCACCGGGAACCGTCCTAAACGACGGTGTTCGGACGGCGCCTCAGGTCCGAACTTTCGGACCTGAGAACTTTCGGACACAAACAATGTAAGCATTTTATGTACATTTTGTATACAGGCCCTACTAACATTTTGTGAAGCAATTAAACAGGAGAATTGGATTCGATTTGCGCTGCAGATCTATAATAGTAAATCGTAATTTGCCAGTAAATATTTAATGACATACAGAGTACTTGGTAGTAAAAACAGAGGAATGAAAAGTACCTGCAGCTTCCAATTTGCCGCGAATTTGAAGACCTAGATCGCTGAAATTGCCTTTCCCGTTGAGATACCGGCTCAACAGGTTGCAAGTCTGCGCGAAGCTCGGCTTCTCCGGAGCCCTGCCCAGCCTTGCGCCGCCGGACGGAAGTTGCATGCCGGAAAGTTTTTTCTGATTCGCCGGCGATGATGAATGGGGAAAAGGTAATAAAGGAGCGAGCTTGTTGATTACAGCAAGTGTATCTGGAGTATATAGATCACCAGATTAGATAAGCCTGGAGATTTTACGCAGCTCTTTTCGGAGAAGGAGATGAAAATGCTCGTTTTAATAATAACATTGTAAATTAAATAATTAGTACAATAATTATTCTTTTGGAAAAGCTTGTAACTACTTTCAGCACGTTTTAATCGTAGGAGGAAAAGACGCAGAAGACGACCGATGGTTGGATGGGAGAACGCGCAACTTGTCGGCCAGTCACCGAAACCTAGGGCATTAAGAACACGTGCTTTTATTTACAACTAATCTAATTAATTACCGAGTCTAATCTGATCTTATTTCGTGGTTGGAGCCCACACTTTTTTGAAAAATGCAATCCAAATCAAGATTTCATTTTATAAGACAATATTGATCAACTTGTTTAGAGTCTAATCTCATCTTGTATTCTGTTTGGAAGAGACTTCAGGGAAAATTAAGAGTTCATTCAATCATTCTACACTAATTTTGGTTAAGATTGTTGGAATTATCAAGGTTATGTTTCACATAACTAAATTAGTTGATTGATTGCTAAAAAAATTACAGTATATGTGAAAGCTATATATGTTACTCCGTGTTATTATTTGTAGCAGTCCCTATACTACGGATTATTTTAATCACTAGAAGCGGAGCCAGGGCACTGGACCGGACAGAACCGGTACAAAAAAAAAATTACAAGAAATTTTTACCATAAAAATATAGACATTTTCTAAATTTGGACAGGGTCAGGGCCACGGTTAGCCCTCCCCTAGCTACGCCCTTGCCATCAACTATTTTTAATATACAACTCTCGCACCCCTAAGATTGAGACACAAGGAAGTGGTACGGGTTTTAAGAAAAAATAGAGTTATGTGGTTGATAGAGAGTTAGAATAAAATAAGAATGAATTGGAATCATACAAAAATTATCAAATATGGTATGCGATAAATTTAATGCCCTTGTTGAAAATGTCATAATGATATGATAAGACCGAAATGTCTAATGTTAAGTATGGAAGTACTAAATTTTAAAATATGTGTCCGATTCAAATTAATTCCTAATTTACAAAGTCAATATAGTATCTCTTCAATGATAAATATAATGCCCTTGTTGAAAATGTCATAATATATGATAAGACCAGAATGTCTTGCCACTTTCATTTACGAAAAAGTCTATTTGTATACGAAGTTTGTATAAGTTTGTACGTAATTGTATGTGCATACATACTATGTGTATGCTTCATAGTTGCTTGTGTACAACAAGTTTTCATGCACACAAATAATTACTTACAAATGTGTGTCAAATGTCTACAAATTTTATGTATATCAAGGATTTGTGTACATCAAGAATTATATTTATATTTATATTTATAAATATGCTACCATTTTTTTGTGACGCAAGGAGTGGAAGTACTAAAATTGTCTTACTTCAGCTTCCCAAAATGTCATTTTTTTAGTTTTTATTAATAGATAATAATCTATTTAGGGCCAGATCAGAGGTGCACATACATGGACAAATATGAGCACTAAATCTTTACCGCTAAATATAAACAAATAAACACATTTGATAAATAAAATAGGGATAAAATTATATGAAAAAGAAAAAGATACTACCCCTATCTGGATAACGGCGGCTTAGCCCAAAACGCAATTTTTTACAATAATAAATGCTGGTTTTTGCAGCGTTCACGCCAAAAAACAAACACTCACTAACCTGTTCCACTAATATTGACACATGAGAACACGACATGATTATTAAGAAAATTGAGTTATGATATTAAATTGATAAAGTAAGAATAATTTAGAACCACACAAATTGTACCAAATTTGGTATGGATAATCTTAATGAGACCGACCAAAAAAAAAGATGAGACAATCTTAGTGGGAAAGAGGGTGTAATATTTATTTATGTTGGATCAAAACATAGAAATAATTTTAGGGCCTCCAAAATAAAACTTGAATTGACGGAATTGGTTGAATTTGCTAAAGTTTATGAATTTCTATTCGAAGTGGTTGAATTGGTTGAATTTGTTGAATTATGAAAAAAATACTTTATTAATAAAATTAAGGAAAATTTGCATAATACGTGAAAATAGCTAAAATTGTCTTTTTCAATAACTACACTCAATTAAGCCTAAAAGCAATTTCAACATTTTCTATTTTAATTATAACATAATTCGGCAGCGAAGTAAAAAACTATAAGATTACCAAACGGTTTTATAAAAAAACATGATTGCCAAACACACACTAAAGATCAGAGTATCTCGTTAAATATCTACTAAATCCCACGTTTTTGAAATGTATACCCGTGACCGGGGCATGATGTGTACGGTGTGTACCCATACTCATATTCCCACTTTTCAATATTTTTCACTTTTGTCTCTGATTTTTTTTATAAAAAATTTGTATTCTAGCGTACAATGTACCTTGGCTCAGGAGCATTACGAGACGCACGTCTCGAAGGTATTCGGCATGAAACTGCAGTTAGGATCATGAGGACGAACATCCCCTTAACGCCCAAGAAAACGGGGCACCATTCCCCATCATCCGGGGGACGTACGTATTCTAGCGTACAATGTACCCTTGCTCAGGAGCATCACCAGACGCACGTCTCGAAGGACTTCGACAGTAAATAACAGTTAGGCTCATGGGGACGAACGTCCCCCTGAAGACCCAAGACAATAAGATGCCCTTCCACATTATCCAGGGACGTACGTATCCTAGCATAACATATACCTTGGTCCAGGAGCAGGACTTGGGGACGAATGTCCCCACCCCTTTAGCGGACAACCAAGATCTTGACGAAATTCTGCATTTAATATAGAATATTTGGTGGTTGCGCATTTAATGCAGAAGATTTGATGGTCAAGATCAAGTTAGACAAGCCCATGAGGACGAACGTGCCCACCCCTTGGCGTGAAGCCAAGATCCTGGTGGTCACGCATTTATTGCAGAGGATTTGGTGTTTGGAGTCAAGTCATCCACAGTTGAGTTCAATGCATCTAACTATCCATTGGCGGTATAAATAGTAGCATTTATTTCATTGTAAAGGAGGCAACTTAGCACTCTAGTATTATAGCATTCTTATTATCGCGTAGCATATCTCTGGACAAACGTCCTCACATTGTATGTACGAACGGCTTCACCTTTGTAAGCATGAACGGCCTCACGCCTTTAACAGTGAAAATATAACCAAGACTTCTTATTGTGTCTCATCTTACTTGTTTGATCTTACTCTCCTAAAATACCCACTTGAAACCCTTAGGTTATGTGTTGGGTCTACGGGTTGAAGGGAATAAACCTCAACATTGGCGCCATCTGTGGGAAATTGATCAAAAAGTTCTTCTAAAACCAAGCTCTCAGCTGAAAATCAATTTTAAACTCTCAAAACAAGTAAGATGGCAAGGAACAATGAAGGAAACTCCTATGATCTCTCCGAACGGCTGTCACACAGCCGAAGAGCACGCCAGCAGGCGGCAAACGCCCAGTCCAGCAGCTTGTGGAGCCGCCACGAAGACTTTGGGGTGCCTACTGATATGCTTCCCCACGAACTCAGGGGGGCTAATGCACTGATGGAGATGGTGGATACCATCCGCCATTTGGTGGACGAGCAGGAGGCGGAGCAGGTGTACTCCGCTAAGCCCGAGTGTAACACCGCCCCCAAGTATTTGTACCTTATAACATTATACGAGATTGTAAATTCTTATCATTTCTTTTACGTGAATAGTAGAATTCACGTGGGCCCCACACCGGAGGTGGTGGCCGCCCGATATTATCGGGACCACATATTATATTAATATGGGCCTAGATAATATGTATATGGTGGTGAATATCCTAATCGGGCCATGGGAAAGGCATAGGATTGACCGGTTGGTCAAACGAGGTCCAATTATCAGTATCGACAATTTATCAGATAAAAACCCAAAAAGGAATTTCGGAGACTTCTAAATTAAATTTGGGAAACATATATTCATTCTAAAGTCCAATAAGGATTGATAACATATGTTATATTTTATTTGACCCGATAAAATAAAATATAATTGAAACAGTCCGGAAAATACAACTTTCGGGGCCGATTGTACTCATCGGACACAAATGGATAACCTCCCACATGAGTGGGGGCAACCCCACGAAATTACACACTCTATGAATGAATTTTGTGCTGTGAGACTCAAGTGGAGACTTATTGATGTGTGATGAGATGGGAGAGACAAAGTTGAAAGGCAATGGGTCCCTCCTCTCATCATTATTTGGCCTTTGAGACAAAATTGGTCAATTAACACCCCTCCCATCCATTGTGCTCGACTCTCTCCCCAAAGAAGAAGAAAGAAAGCTCGGTAAACCCATTGTTCCATAGCCAATTCGATCTCAAGCAATAGAGGCTCAAGGAAGGAGATTAAAGAAGGAAAAACTTAGGAAAAGTGTAAAGGATTAAGGTAATGACCTTATAATCACTTTTCCTCTACTTCCTATTTATCATATGACTTTCATATCATATAAAGTACCCCTAGGATTGTTGTACATGTTTAGAAGTGCCGAATGAGGGGTTGGAAGGTAGTTCTAAGTCCAAGAATGGACATAGAAGCCAAAGTGACCGGTTCGCCGGAAAATAACCTTTTAGAGGTTATTTGTATTAATATGGGTTGTATGATGATGAAACCTTGTTAGGAACTTGCATAAGGTGTTCCTAGCATTTCCACGGAGTTGGAATACTTCACCAGAGTTTCGCCGGAGTTCCACAAAATTCGTCGGAGTTTCACCGGAGTTCAACCAAGAAGGGTAGAACGCATTAAAGCTTCGTTTAAGGTGATAAGACGACTTTATGCTTTATAACTTTTGCGTGAGGCATGAGATTACCTAAATTAATCAAGTATATGCTTTATTAATTGATTAATGATATTAAAGTATGTGCTATGTCATGTTAAGGAATATAACATAGTTGAAAAGCATGATTTATAGGTTTGATTAGTGAAATTATTATAAATTGATATGTATGATGTTCCAAGGACCCAAATAGGTATATTTGGATTAAGGACGTTAAGGAGTACTTGCATGTAAAATTTCACGCTAATCGGACTCCGTTTGGGCGGTCAAACGGGCGTTGACCGCCAAGTCAACTTTGGTACCCGACCGGGTATTGGCAAACACCCGACCGGGTATGTACTGAAACCTGCCCCAGGGGTCGCTGCCTCCTATACCCCATCGGCTATAGGTAGGTACCCGACCGGGTATG